CCCTCTCCTCTTCTACTGCTTCCTGTTCAACCGCATCGACTCCCTCCCCATCAACGTCGTCGTCTACTTGATTGTCAACCAAGTCTGTGCTGCTACTCCCTTGGTCGCCATCGCCATCGCCATCGCCATCGCCATCTGCATCTGCCTCGGCATCTGCATCAGCACCGGCATCTGCGTCTGCATCTGCATCTGCATCTGCATCGGCATCGGCATCGACACCCGGCGCTCCATTGGCGGCTAAATGAGCACCTGCGGGTGCATCTGCAGCGCCGACGGTGGCCAGCTCGCCCTCTTGGTCCATGTCCGATCCTGCCTCCTGTTGAAAAAAACAAACAAGAAAGACCCCGCGAAAATCGAAACAGAACCGTCAACACGTGGTGCGCGAACACATCCTGGTTTCAAGTGTTTGCGATGATGTGCGGTCACAAATACATACCAGAAAGCTGAGTGACGATTTCGGGCCACGATTGCACAGCAGAAAGAGACACAGGGCAAAGGCTAACTTCACCCGGTTCCCTTTTCCTGGTTGTGCCCCTCGCAAGATTGGGGGGGGCGGGGCAGGGGGGCAGAGGGGCAGGAATAATCCTCCATTGCATCGGGCATCGGCATTGATTGCGTCCATCCCACCCAAGACCCGGAGGTACACAAGCAAACGGTTACGTCTGTACACCTTACGGAATTACTACAACAACAGTATGCAGACTACGGTAATACCACACCAGCATGAAATACGAGCACTACACTTCAAAAACGGCCTGATCGATTGCCAAGAAGCGACACCCGTTGCACGACCAAACTACGGTACCGGTACGTCTCTCGCCTTGTCGTGGTCTTCCTCTCCCTCTCCGACACCTTCTCCTTGCCCTTCAACATCTTCCTCCTCCTCCTGTGCCTCCCCCATTTCTTCATCCTCATGCTCATCCTCAGCATGCTCATCCTCAGCACCCTGAGCATCCTCACTCGCTGCTGGCCTCTCCTCCTGACCTCCTCCGCCCACCTCTCCTTCTGCATCACCCTCGCCCATGGGTTCTTCAACGCCCCCTTCAACGGCTCCCTCAACGGCTCCCTCAACGGCTCCCTCAACGGCTTCCTCAACGGCTCCCTCAACGGCCCCCTCGAAAGTTTCCTCAACGGTATCTTCGTCATCACCGTCCCGCTCTGCTGCCACTGCGGCTTCCCCTTCGGCTGCCTCGTCGTCACCGTCTTCTGCACCACCCCCGTCCATGGCATCCATGGCATCCTGGTCCATGTACTGGAGCACGTTATCTCCCTCGTCTCCCTCATCATCATCGAGTCCGCCGCCCGCCGTCGGAGTAGCCCCGGCCAGAGCGGCAGCAGCGGCATCGTCACCAGCGGCACCATCGATCTCCATGGCTTGTGTCTCGGCCTCTGTCTCCGGGATCTGGTCTACGGGGTCTTCAGGACGTACTGGTCGACCGGCGGCGGCGGCGGCGCCGCCAGCTGGTGCTGCAGCAGCCTGGTTGTCCTCGTCCCCCTTCTCTTCTTGCTCCTCTCCTTCGCCTCCTGATTCCTCCGTTTCCTCGTCCTCCTCAGGTTCCGGCTCCGTATCCTTGTCGTCGCTCGCACCCTCGCCATCGGAGCCGGATCCACCGCCGCCACCGCCACCGCCACCGCTACCGCCGGCTTTCCCGCCGCCACGGTCGGGTCCTCTTCCGGCCCTCCCGGGCCTCTTCCCCGCACCACCATCACCGCCTCCATCACCGCCATCGTCTTCGTCGCTTGGGGCCTCCTCGGTTCGGCGGGTGTTGCTGCCCTTCGCGCCCGGACTACTTGGCGGTACTTCGCCGTCCTGCGGCTGGGCCGCTTTGCCAGTCTTGCGCTTGGCCGGGGAGCGCGGGGGCGGCGAGCTAGGGGCGCGGTCCCCACGCCGCTGAGTCACCCTCCTGCGGCGGGGCTCCTCGTCCTCGGCACTGCCATCATCTCCATCATCTTCGGAGGCGTTGTCGGTGTCATCGGCAACCTTAGACCGCGTCGAAACTGCCTTCCTCTTGCCGCCGCTTGTCTTTCCATCAGCGCCTTTGTCCTTCCCCTTGGCTACAGGCGCAGCAGCAGCAGCAGCAGCAGCAGTGGGTTTCTTTTTGGAGGCAGAACTTGGGGCTCTTCCTCTTCCGGCACGACGACGGCCACCGCCGGTGACGGGTGAGACGGGTGAGGCGGGTGAGGCGGGGTCATCTACGGCATCATCCTCTTGAGCTTCCTCACCCGATCCAACATCATCGTCGACAGTTGCAGAGGTACGCGTCGCGCGGGCTGCCTTCGCAACAGCAGCAGCAGCAGCAGCAGGGGCCTTGGTCCTCCCTGACTTCGCGCTGGGCGCCTTCTCCTTCTTGACGCTAGCTTTACCCTTCGAGCCTGACCAACGACCACAGCCGACGCCCGCATTAGAGATAAATACGCAAGACGAGCATACCGACGAGTTGGAAATGAACGCGGGTGGGGAAAAGTGAGAAGCAACCAATCAATTGTATGGGCATGTCCGCGGCAATCTCGGGGGGTGGCACTTATTGCTGTCTAGACGTTTCCTTTCCTTGTGGCTACTTGTCGGAATACACCCCATGACACCACCGGTATCAACCTCAGCATGTCCTGCAGCACGGCCGTGCTGTGCCCAGGAACTACATTTGTGTGTAAGCCTGTAGGTACAAGAACATGGCCACATCGCCAACCACAAGCGTTTCATATTTTTGGGTCGTGAAACCCGTAAACAAACGAAAACATGGTGCATGAGCAAGCGATCCTGTGTCGATTGGAGTCGGCAAAGAGCTGGGAGTATGAACGGACACCCAGCTGGCCAAGTACCCGCCAGTACAAGACGGCAGCCACCTGTGACTACAAGTACGGTATGGAGGACCGGTTCTTAACGCTAGCCTCGTGCGCTCGTTTGAGTGTTTTCAACTCCTGACCGGCCGTCGAGTCGGGCCTCCGCACCATGATACTAGCGTCAAGAGGTCCCTTATCAATTTGGGTAGATACTTTTATTCTTCTTTGTATCGCAACATCGAAATTCGGAAGTCAGTTTTGTGAGCAACCCCTATGTTGTACATTTTCACATGTATGTACCACTCTGAAATGCCTCAAGTACCTCGGGTATACTACCGCAACAGCAGTTGTCACCTTTAACAGCCTTGAAATCCTCTATTGAACCTAACTCGGGGTGCACTGCAAGAACGCCTCTTACCGGTGGTCTTAACCATAGCCTTAGCGTTAGCCTTTCCCTTGGGAGACGCAGCTCTTTTAGGCGACACCGCGGCTTCTTCATGTCCCGCGCGGCGGCGGCGGCCGGCCCTGGTGCCGCCGCCACGGGCGTCCGTCGGTTGCCGCTCCTCTCCCTCACCAGCAGCCGTGTCGGTCCTCTTGCCCCCTCGCCCACGCCGCGACGATGCAGACGCCGATCTCCCTCCGCCTTCCTCCTCCTCCTCGGTCATGTCCGCGTCCCTCTTCCGCCTTGCCCTTACGGGCGCTGCTTGCTTCGCCACGCCGGCGACGGCATCCTCCGATCTGGTGCGGGTACGCCGCGTCGTTCGGCCTCCCCGCCGGCTAGGCCGGCCGGCCGCTAACCCCTCGTCGGCACTATCATCGTCAGCGTCCGAGGCATCCTGACCCTCGTCCTCTGCTTCCTCGGGGTCTGCTACCCCGCCCACGCTGCCGGCTCCACGACCGCCACCATCACGTCCGCTGCTGGCCCCGGCACTTCCGGCCCCCGACGCAGGGTGAGCTATCTCATCCGCCGCCCACTTCCGAAGCTCGTCGCGGAATCGGCCACGCAAGACGTCGACCTTGCCCGCGTCGTCAAGGTCGAAGTGGCGCAGCATGTCGGCGAGCTCCGCCTTCCTCATCATGTAGACGGGACGGCCAAGCCACGCCTGCTTGCGAGGGTTGCTGTCGGCCGCCTCCGCCTTGCGCTGCACCAGGGCGTCGATCAGATCGTGGGTGACCTCGTCGTCCTTCAAGCGGAGGGACGGCATATCCAGCTCGTGAAGCTTCTCGCGCATCTCTTCTAGGTTCATGGCCGACACTCGCGTCTGGTGGAACCAAACCTGATCGGGAGGGAAAGCAGGCGCTTGCGAAGGGTCGACTTGGCCGGCCCTTTTGCGCCGAAGGGGAGACAAAGATGGGGCTGCGGAGAGGTCCCTCCCCGCAGAACGCCCTCCACGACCGCGTCGGGGTTTCTCATCCGCCACATCTCCGCCGCTCTCACTTCCGTCCTTGTCCGTACCCACTGGGACCCTCACCCCCCCACCAGTTTTCCTGGGCGCGTGCCCTCCTCCCCCGGAGTGGCCGTCGAGAATAGCGTCGCGGAGGCATCGCTGCAGGTCGGCCTTGAGGTGTCCGGTAGCCTTGAGCCCCATGCGCTCTACATGGAGCTTGAGGGTCGCCACCTGCCGTGGTTTTTGTCGAGGTTCGAGACCGCATTTCGAATCAGCAATTGAAGACGACACGTCATTCTCTCCACCATATTCGATCGATTTTAGCTTCGAAAGGACTACAAAAATGATATCATACGTAGAACAGACAGTTCGGGGCAACGGAGGCAGCCCTTCGGCACTCTAAATATCAAAGGGCTACTGTATACACAAACGGCAATTGTGAAGATAAATGCCAAAGCGGGAATGTTGGCCGGGAGGACGTCTTGAAGTCTTTTCGGTACGCGAACGCAGCAATACATGACAACACTGGATGGCCAAGGCTGTGAGCCCCATGTGTGTGGTACATGAACCTTGCGGTAGAGCGATGCACGCCTTCGTTCGATGCTCGCCGCCGCTGCGCCTGCAGTAAGAGAAGGACGTCAGAGTCGCCCTTAGGGGGAGATCTCGAGTTTCGCCAAAAACTACCAGACTGAGTTGGGCACTTGGACTCGAAACAAAACGAAACCAGCCCCGTCAATCAATCCTCACCTTCATGTCCGCCACGCGAACGCCATCCACTGATGCTTCGGGATGTTCATCCTCAGCGACGTGTCTCCTACCTCGTCTCCCTCCCTCCACGCCAGCAGCCCCAGCCTTCTCTTTCCCTCCTTCCTCCTTCATCGAGCGCCTCGCCTTGACCGCTTCTGCCCAGCAGCCAATCAGGTCGCTCTTCTTCCTCCCCTTGGGCTTCAGGCCAAACCTCGTCATCAAGCTCCGGAGCTCCGCCACCGTCATGCTAGGCTTGGGTCCTGCTTCAAACTTCACAGCGAGGGCCTCGGTCAGCACGGGGGCCTCCGCTTCTTCCGCGTCAGGCGGGGGCCCAGCAGACGACGCCCCCGCGGCAGTCGCTGGGGCGTCAGCCACCGGAGGGGAACCACTAGCGAGGGAGGGGGGCGCTTCGGCGGCTGCGTCGCTGGAGTTGGCCTCGTCATCCGAAGCGATCACGATGGGGCAGTCCTTCGTGTCTGCGCCTGCACCCTTCTTTCCGAGGGTCCTCACCGTTCTCCTCTTGATGCGCCGAGCTTCGCGCGCCGACGATTGCTCGGACGACTCCAGCCCCGAGCCCGGAGAGCTGGCGCTTGTCGCGAAGCCCTCTATGCTCGCCATCCCCGGGCTGCCTCCCGCGAGGTCTGCGCACAGACGCCTGGCCAGGCGCATGCGCAGCTCGGGCTGGTTCCCCGCGTAGGCCAGGCCTAACGCCACGAGCGCGTCCTTGAGATCGGTCACGCGCATAGTCATGAGCGGCTTCCCGGCGTAGCGGAGGCTAGCAAGGGCTTCGCCCTCGGTCCAGTCGTCCAGGTCTGCGGAGACCCTTCCTCCCGCGCTCTCGGTCTTGACCACAGCGCGGCCTCGACTCGGCCCCTTCCCTCTTCCTTTCCCCTTAGCCTTTGGGACATCGTGCTCCTCGCCTTCTTCTTTCGCATCCTCGTCGTCTGCACCGGACCCGGCTTTCCCCTTCCCCTTCCTCTTGCCTCCAGCGCTGCCGGAGGCGGCGGCCGGAGCAGCCGCGGCAGGAGGCTGGCCTAGCGCCCTCAAAGCCGAGCGAGCGGCTTCTTGCAGCGTCTGCTTCGAGCCGCGCCCCCGCACGGGCGAACGGGAGGCAGCCGAAGCACCACGAACACCACCAGCATGGCCTCTTGTTGGCGTACCTTGGGAGCTGTTGGCATCATGCCGAGTTTCGTCCGGACTGGCTGTGGCTGCCCTGGCACCAGCATCGGGGGTGGGTGAAAGTGGTGCTGCTGCTTCTGCTGCGGCTGCGGCGGTGTGAGGTTCCTCCTCCTCCCCCCCCCCCCCGTTTCCCCCGCCTCCGAGACCCACTATTCCCATCACCGTGCCGAAGAAGCTGCTGCGTTTCTTGGGGCGTCTCGCCCGGCGTCGACCACGATCATCATCATTCTCACTCATCCTGCTGACGAGAACCAAGCACGCAGAAAGCGGGTCAAGAGGCATGAGGTGGTAGGGGCAGATATGTGATGGTCGTGAGCTCACGTTGACGACCATCCATACATTTGCAGCCGCCATCCAGGACACGATGGGTGATGAACGACACGGATTCGTGCTGAGTGTGCTTTGCGGAGTGGTCTACATGGGGGTCGTTCTGCCCGGAACAGCAAGTCAGCAGTTTTCTGGATCAAACTGCTGGTCCAACTTCGCGAAACAGAGGCCCTGAGTTACGCCAAGTGTTCGAGTGAGATGCGATGGACGCGTTGATTGGAACAACACGTGCATCATGCTTTGCTGATTTAGGACAGGTAGGAGGAAGGAAGTGTAGACACTTGGCCCGCGCTATGTACTTTGGAGCACAAGGAAAGTACTGCTGCTGGAAGGGGGCGCTCATATTTTGAAAAAGTCGTCGTCAAAGGGGCTGACAACAGCACGTATTCGTCAAGAAGCAATATCTCGATGGACTCTGTGGAAAACCAAAACATGGGTCTGCTGCTCGAAGAACTCTTCGATTGCTTGTTCCATGAGACACCGCCAGTGACGCTCTGCACTTGCCCATGTTAGCGTACTCTCTACCCCCGCCCCGTTATTTCGCGCGTGCTGCCTCCTCGAGGCGTCTTCGGTGTGCATGGAGGAGAGCGACAGCGAGAAGCGATAGAAGTAGAGGCTAACGGCCCCCTGTGGTAAAGCTGAGCAGTTCACAAACGGCAGCCACACCCCTTGAGTACAAGAGAACCAGCACACTCACTTGAGGTCGTACCAATAGCAAGAGCAGGGACGCGTCGCCACCAATAAAAGGTGTGGTGTGCCGCACAGCGCAGGCCCTCCGCAGCAATAGGACAGGGGGGGTACGTGATATCGAGACAAAATACGGGGTATGTGAGATGGTTCGGCGGCGGTACAGCATGAAAATGAAGTAGTGTTCTCAGTGCAAAAGATCAAATGCACCTCCGCGTATGCTTGGTAGCAACAGGCTTGGTGCCAGCACACGGATTTCTCTCTTACAGGCCCTTTCATCATCGTCGAACCCCATTCAACACCGCCAGACCCATCATGTCTGCAGCTGGACACGGTGAGAAAGCACACATGTTTGTCGAAAAATTTGAATTTCACGCCTGCTGAATTCCTTACGATGCAGTCCCAGGATGATGCCCACGCCGACATAAATAACGCCGGGAATCTAAGTGATGGGATGTTTGTAATCGATCTTTGATGGTAAGTAGGCGTAAATGCGCACCTTTCGCGCTATTGAGATACGGCGGTGTCCATTATATTGTCTCGGAAAGGGGGGTGGTATATTACATCACACGCCTTCGCTCATCGCCCCCCCCCCCCCCCCTCGCTCCGTCCCTGGCATTGTATGCTAGCGAAGCGAGGACTATGGTCTTCATTGTGTACCGTGATGCATTATGCTTCCAATAACGTGTGTGTGCAACAAAACAATTCGATCCAATAGCTGTCCTCTTTGTTTATTTTAACAAAACGGGGTGGGTTGCTCACGTCAAAAGGACGTCGTGAGCAAATACATAAAACGTCCGTCGCATTGCTTACCAGCCCCCGCCGTTAACTAGTTAATTGTGCGAGATCACAAACACTTTGCTTCCTTTGCCTGTTTTTTTATCCAAGGCACGGACATGAACGTGCTTCCGGCCAGCGCGTTGTCGTTCATGAGAGTGGTGGGCAAGCTGAAGGAGCTCAAGAGGACCGGCTGGGTTCATCGAGGAGTCGCTAAACCAGAGTGAGCCCGCATAGACTGTTGTAATGCACTGCTGCATCGATAGTGGCGGCGTTCAATCCATACGGTTCGCAAAGCTATGCGTCGTGCCTACGGGCACGAACGGCGTAAAATGCGAAAAGTGCAGGTACATTACACAGACATCCACAACTTATAGGGAGCGGTGTAGCGCATGTAAGGCGCAGGTACGCAAGGCGCAGAGTGTCATCACGGCGTCTCCACCTTAGTTCGTGCACGATGCCTACTAGTGCAACAGGTCCCCAATACTGAAACGCATAGTTGTCGATCAGTAGGCTTCACAGGTGTGCTGGGCTCTTCGTTCGGTACATCCAGTATACCAGCCTACACATCCACGACTAGCATGAGCACAGTTGAGGAACATGTGCACGTTGGTGAATCGCTACTGTACTGGAGAAGATGTAGCGACCATGTCATCCACTGCTTTCAGCTGATCTCTTCCGCCGCCCAAAACACATTCGACTGCAAATCAGGTCGGTGTCCGATCACATGTATCGCATGGCAATGTGCTCCTTCCTCATCACGGACCCGACATTGGATCGGTAAGTCCTGGTTCGTGACTGGTCCCTTGTACCCAACACGACAGTTTTGTATTCTGCACAGCAGTCGGTACTTCGTCTCTTGTAGGAATCAGGTGTTGTTCTTGCAGACCATGGTAGTACTCTCGTCAGCGAGGTATCTACAGCGGCGCCGTCCTCTGCATAGATTGGTTGGCCTAGGGGCGAGCGCGACACGTTTGCCACGTTGATACACGTACGCACAAGAAGGCTCGAGAGGTCGCCAGAACGGGTTCTACGTGACGTTGCCAGCATATTAACAGGGAGTGCCCGTATGAACGCGTGCGTCCGGCCCTGCGTCATTGTTCTCGAGACCAGCAGATGGTCGTTTGTCTCATCATCGTCCTTCTCCGTCTTGTTTTCGTGGGGTAACTTTAACGAATAGATCGCGCATTATGAAACTGGCGATGGTACACGATCTCGCCGAAGCCCTGGCGGGAGACATCGCGCCCTTCCAGAAGGTCTCTAAGGAGGACAAGCGTCGCCTGGAGGAGGAAGGGCTAGACAAGATATGCGCAACCATTGGCAGCGATCCCATCGGTGCGCGGCTGGTTTAGGGCCTATGGCGTGTCGCGTCATCTAACTAGAGTGTGTATGATGTTGTGCCGACTATCGAGAGCCAAGTGTGGAACATGTGGCTAACGTTAGCGTGAGGTCTCTTTGGGGGTATTAAGCTAGATCGGTGGAAACGGGCGTGGTTTTTTTCGCATTGTATTGAAAAGCTTGCTCTTCAAGAGAGAAAGGGCAACACCGACCCGTGCCGCAGCTGCTGGCGAAGCCTAAGACCATGTCGGGGGCAAATCTTCGCTGACTTTTGATGTTTGGTGTCGTCTGTTGCTTCCTCGTGCCCACAGCTCTAGAGATCAAAAAGCTGTGGTATGAGTACGAAGACTGCACGTCCGAGGAGGCGAGGGTGGTCAAGGACTTGGATAAGCTGGAGATGATTGTCCAGGCAGACGATTACGAGAAAGGTGAGTCGCCGTGTTGCAGTTCTCGCCGCTCGATAAGCAGCGACCAAAAATTGCCTTCTATCCTTTTTTTTTGTGACCTCGGTTCGACTCAGACTCCTCGGTCCTCGTTGAGGTCAGCAGTCTTAAAATCATGTAGTTGTTTTACCGTGATCGCCTTCACTGACGTACGACGGTTCCTTGGCGGTACCTCCATTTCACAGGTGTCGGGACTACTCCACACTCTTACCGCGCCCCCTCTCCCCCCTACACGCCGTTTGTAGTAGCACGCCTGTGGCCTTGAAGAAACCCCCAAAGTCTTTGTGGGAAGCCACTGCAGTCGCATTGACCTGTAGAGAACCCCCGAGACTACCAGTACATACTGGCGTTTGTGGCTTTCGCGCATTCAAACCTTTCAGTTGCTGTCGGTACCGCCTAAGCATGCGAATGCAAAGGTGTGGAAGTACCTGGCACTAACGTCGCGGTGTTTGCGGGGAGAGGAGGGTGCTTCCCTCCGTAAGGACACATGTTTTGTTTTCGCGGAGGGTGTTGAAACACAAAATGCAATTGCTTCAATATTAGCGTAAAGTGTTGTGGGCAGGCCTTCCGTATTTTACTCGAATATTTGCAAGCGCGGCTGTGCTGCTTTCAGTCTGGTTTTACGCACCCCTCGAACTATATACCGGTATGAGTGTACGAAAAAACGAGGATTCTGTCATACCATGCTTGATGGAAAATGGCATGGCCCTATTGGTGCTCACACAAGCGCCGTCCCTATCTCGGCAGTCGTCCTACAACTAGACGAACGTCATGCCTCCCTACTGTATCGTTGCCGATCGTGCAGGTCAAGGACTCGACCTGGGCGAGTTTTTCGAGAGCACCGAAGGGTGCTTCACCACCCCCCAGGTGAACACACACGCGAATCCTCTCCTCTCCGCTTCTCTTCGACGCGCTCAGTCGCTGCGCTGCTTGTCGACATAATGCTTCAGACGAGCACATTTTCCAACAGGGGCGTAGTTGTACACGATACGCGTAATACTTGATTCGTTCAACGACAAAGGCGTCCTCGTTCCAGCAAGTGGTTGCATTTGGCAGAGGTGCTGCATGTGAGTGTTTGTCATGAGGATGATCGACTCGGTTCGATGAGACCGAAGCGTGGCGTTCGATTCACCTGCTTGGCTTGTCCGAACCTCCTCAACCTTGTCGTCGCTCAGCGCATAGTTCTACACGGAAGGCTAGCCATCTGCACATACAGCAGTTCGAGCTCTGTTGTTCCGTGGTATGAGAGTTGCTTGATCATCGACGTTATGGTACGTATGCTTGGTGCTGGTATGCGATTCCTCTTAACAAGCAGGTGCAGTCGTGGGACAAGGAACTGAGGGAGCAACGGGCTGCCCGTCGACAAGAAGCAAAACCATCCAATCAGCCACCAGCAACGACGTCAGATTCGTGCACGAAAACCTCGGTCGAGAAGGGGGCAGCAAGAGGGGATACCGGCACCTGCGACCCTAGCCCAGACCCTTGAATAGTGCAAGGGAAGGCATATGGGTAGAGCGATGCGAGATTAATCGCTGGGCGTCCCGCACACGCGACACAGGGGATAGGGGATGTTTTTCGGTTGTACTTGACGTAAGCGAAAGAACGAGTTCGTCTCGGAAGGCAGTCCAGTAGCACTAAGCGTTTTCAAGCCAGAAAGCCCTCCCGACAAATGCAACACGGCTGAGTCTACAAACAATGGGCCATCACACACCATCAACGCTGTCGAGGATCACGGAGCCTTGTCCCGATAACGCAGCGCCTATTTCCTTCAAGGTTTGCACAAGCTGGCGACGGAAGGCAAACTTCATCACCACACTCGCCAACGCACGGTTCGGCGCCATCCCGACGCAAGCCACTCTGTCCGTAGCCCCGCGACCTTGCTGCCCACACAGATAACACTCCGGCTCCGCATGCGTGACCGAGCCTGGGCTCTCGCCGCTACCCCCAGGCACCCTTCCAGTACCGTCCTCAGCTGACATGCCTCCATCGCCGCCCGCACAACAACCCGCGCACAAGGTGTGCCCGCAAGGTGCCATGGTGTGAGGGTCCTTGAAGAGCTTGGCGCACCTCTGGCAAGTCAGCACTAGCTCCCCGGCCTCCTCCGCCCCGCACAGTTCGTCCACGGTACGGCACAGCCTGTCTCTCAACGACGCCGAGTCCAGGTTCTGCTGGGACAAAATAATCTCCCGTTTGATGTCGCGGTCGTGACGCTCGTCCTCTTCCACTCGCTGCCTCTCGCTCTCTTCCTCTTGCTTTTCGATGGTTGCACGTAGGCCAATGTTCTCCTCAGCGAAGGAGTCAGCTCTTCGAGCGGGGTGTCGGGTGGGGTGAGATTGCGACAAGGACAAGCAATGGACTGGAGGTTAGAATTCGAGCACCAGGCGTAGTCGAAGGAGCCTACTACTGCTGTACTAGGGTTCATACGGCGCTTGCCGGGTGTTGGATGTGCGGGCAGCTACAGTGTTTCGCTTGGACAAGTGCTTGCTCGACACGCTCGTTTCCTTCATTCGCGTGTCTTTGAACGACGGTAAAGATATGCCAGGAGTTGCATATTTCGTGTTTCTCACGAATTTTTCGCATGTGCCTTGTCAATGCCCTGGAGCATATAGTACGCCGTGCTTTCGTATCACCACCACCCCTTCCTACTGCCGCTACATACTCCAACGTCGCACCTCGATGCCATAAAAAGGTGAACCAAGACTTCTAGCTCCCATTTATCGGTTTATTCCAAGAAACGAGGGCTGGCACTCTTCTGTTGTCTATGGGCAAACATTGACGACACAACACAAAACAGAAGTCACGCACTTTTTCTGCATCTCCTTGAACGCCCGCTCTCTCTCCTCGCCCTCACGACGATGCGCCTCTAACAAATTCTTCATTGCGTCGCCAGAGTCTGATTTCTCCGATGCCAGCTGCGCAATGATCTTCTTCAGGGATGCGATTTCAGCCTCCTGCTCCTCCCCCAATTTCCCTGTCGTCACTTCTTTACCGTCAACCCCACCCACAGCCCTTCCAACGTCAACGGGTGAGGACAAGGCCAAGGAAGGTGTCAAGCCCACCAAGGCGCTGCTTTTTTCGCTTTCGATCTGCATCCGCGTAAGCTGGTAAACGGGGGTGAAAGGGTTGAACGGAAATTCACCGGAGGGAATACACGGTGTAAACGAAATGTTGAATATATTGCAGTAGTGTACATTAAACGTCGAAGGCGTTTTATCGGCGATCCTCGGTGATGACCCCCGTCCACCTCCCGCCATATTCGTCTTACAAGTGGCACGCCAGATTCCAGACGTGCCTATACTAATGCACCGAATTTGCCAGCCGTCGCTTCTATTGCGACGCCACCGCTCTGCTACAATATAAGTGATAGCCTTGCCTTGCGAGCCGTTGTTGTCGTAACGTCACATGTAGTAACGGTTCCGGTCTCAGCTTAGTACCTTCTAACATCCGTACCGATCCAACCGAACCGACGCGGACGCATTCCGTCGTGTCAGAGGCTACATACCCTAACAGAACACCCACGAACAGCCAAAGAGAAAATGGGGAAACTTTTGCTACCAGTTCATCGTCCTCAAACCTCATGCCAACCTTGCACAATGAGACGACTCGAGAGCTACTAGTTACAGTACACGCGTTCCACCAACTGTACTACTCACGTGGTGAGGAGACTACCACCCACAACGCGTACTCACCTCCTGCGCTATCATTTTGGCGTCTGTTCTGCACTGCTCTACTTCTGCTTGGAGAAGCGTGGCCATCGTGGAAGCTTCTTGGTACATCCCCTCGAACGTCGACGCCTTCAAGCTTTCCCGCTGGAAGCATCGTCCAGCGTCGTATCGTGCGGAGGGAGGAACGTTGTAGGTATTGGAAATCTACGTGCTTGCAAAACGGGGGCTTCAACACTAGACGACCGACGTGTCCTACAACGTATTCCGTCCTAACAATGTCACTTCTCTGTTCACTTGATCTCCTGCTCGGCAGTACTATGGCATCGGGACCATACATATTCTGGCCGGTAATCGACTGGGTCTTGTTTACCATTAGCACGGTACTATTTATCATGGCACAAATGTAAGCTCACCTGGCACGCCTTTGCGGTCTCATTAAGGTCGAACTCAAGCAGGTCTATCCGCTGTTGGGCCTCGCTCTTAGCCTTATCGCTGTCGCTGACCCTGCGACGAGTCCCAAATTAGTCCAATTAAGTTTCGCTCACAAGTAAAAAAATACTCTAACAACGTACATATCTTCTGCTGCCGCAACGTATGGCCTGCAATGCAGGCAGCTCCACCCCCTCGTGGGCATGCATGCGCCGGCGGTGTCCTGCAAGGATTGGTGGCGATACGCCATACTGGAAGGAAAGATTGTCAGCTTTGCCCTACATAGCCTCAACAGAGGCTGTCCACTCTCATACGTTCGACCGGAGGGAGATACAGAGAGAGAGGGTATGCTTACCTGAGCCTGCTCTCTCTGCGTTCCTCCTTGAGCCTTTGCCGCATCGTCTCCGTGTCGGATCTCGTCTGCGTTAGCTCTAGCTGTAGCGCCTTGAGGGGTGCAATCTGGAGTTTCACTTCGTCCGACAGGAGAGCCACGCTGACCAGACGGATCCACCCACCGACGAAAAAGCAAGACATCGGAGAACTCCAAGGTGCGCAAGGATACCGGCCGTCTACGTTGGTTTCTGGGATCGCACGTCGTCACTTCTACTGGCGTTATTGAGGCATTCACGGTATATTCTTGCTTGCGAGTTCGAGGACATCGCGCCACACTCCACTGGTAACTGAGAGAAAAGTAAAGAAAGAGAGAGTTTGTCTGGGCAATCGTAGCGAAGTATGATCACCAAACTCGAAGCGTTCAACGATCGCCGCTATCGAACACTCGATTGAGTGCACAATATGATGGTGTAGGTAAGACACCCAAACGCTCATGCGCGAAAGAGGCGAGGGGATGCCCAACGGTCTGGATAGCCCAACTTATAGTCATATAGCAAGAAATACGGCCCCGCAACACACGCGGCAGCCAGAAGTGCTTACCGAGTCTCTAGGTGAGCCTTTTCCTTTTCTGCAACGTTGACTCTGGTTTTGAATGCGATGTTGTCGGCTCGAAGGGCTTCGGCCTCTTGAAGGGCGCGCTCCAGCTGCCCTCGAACATCTCTGTCATAAGCGCGCATTCGTTCAAATAGAGCCGGCAACCAGCCCGACTACTGTCATGAAAACCCACGCATATCTGCTGTAGCTTGATGTTGAGGACCGTACCGTTTAGTGCCATGTCAAACTGCTAGTTGGAACCAGTTCCGGCACGGGACACCACCAGCTGCAGTAACCCCCAAGGTACTTAGAAATCGGTACCCCCGTATGGGCTGATCTCTGCGAGAAAATAAAAATCTACCGGGGTAGGAATCATTCGAGATTTGCATAAGCCTACCGGCTAGCACGCAGAAGTTGTTGTTCGGTGTGTTTGGCTCCCATGGCAGCCACCGCCCTCTCCGTCTCCAGCGTCTCTTTCTCCGACGGTTGCGCTACGGCCTTTTCGGGTCTCTGCCGGGGTTCTGATGCTAGCCTGCCGGCCGTCACAACCATTTTACCGTAGGTGACCAACTTTCTCGGACCGCATCTTCCAGCGTTCGTTCTTTCGGAGGGACCAGGGCCTTTTTCTGGAGGATCTTGCTGCCGGTCCTCCTGTCTGACATTTTCTTGGGTACCATAGGGTGAACGATGTGAAGGGGTCATCACATGGATACGGTGTTGAACGATAGATGGCGGTACGTGCAAAATGTACTAGATTACGTGCATCATGGAATAGGTCGACGGGAATTCTAGATATGGGCCTCTGAAGGAGAGTTCGACCTGTTGATGGACGGGGTGGGGTGTTCATGGAGTCCGCCTGCAAGAATATTTTTAAGGCGATTTCACCATGGTTCCGTTCTTGCCAACATGCATTCGAATACTCTCCGTCCAAGGAAAACGTATTGCGAATACATACCTGGCGGTGATGATAACTCTTCCTAGCCCGCATTCTGTACCATGTTTTCCATTTCTTCCACGTTAATCATATAGCGGTGGTGCTTTTTGTGCTGTGATGCCGAGACCACGCCACGCTCACCTTTCAAGGCTTTCAAGGAGGCGATCTCATGGTCCTTAGCTTTCAACTAACCGGGTGAGAGACGGGGGGGGGGTGAGGAATCAGCGGACGAGGTGCGTTGGTTCAAATGCATCGCCCTAAATTGCTGGCGGCATCATTTCTGCGCCACTCCTAACGAAAACTTTGATGTGCAACCCAGATAACGTACGGAAAACGTTGGACTGATGTAGTCCCCACGTTCGTCCTCGATTTTTTTGTCTGCACCATGCTAAATCAGGATGAGGACAGCTAGATGGCTCTGTGTGTGTGAAGCATGTTTCCTTTGCGTGTGTGTGGAACGCGTCCATGACAATAAAATAAATGGAGTAGACTACTGCTGCAGCACATGGACATGCAGACTACATATATCCCTACCTGCTCACGGAGTCGAGCCAGCTGTTCCTGATTGACCCTTGTAAGGTTGGAGAGGTGGATGATGTTTCTCTTGAGACCGTTGCGGAAATTTTCGTCGTCTTTGGCGATTTCAATGTCGTCCTTCCCCCCTTCCCCTGACGGAGCTGCACGGGCAGAAGGCAGAAGCAAGATAAAGTATACCATAAAATAGTATTTGACGCTGAAATGTTACTCCCAGATAGCGCCGACGCCCCCGAAGCGAAGCTCTTCCATTCGAGAGGCAAGGCCCTACTGTAGGATAGGAAGAAACTGCTGGCAAGAAGGTTTCTTTAAAATGGGATGGCGAACATACGCAGTGATGCGTAGTTTGGACTTCGTCGTGTTCGACGCACCGTAATGCTGCAAGAGACCACATGAACCGCGACCACATGCATATTACGGCATACATTCGTTATGCCCCCACACGTCGATGCTTGCTATCAATATAACAACACACACGCACGCGCAATTCACCTCTTGTTGTGTGGTATGCTCCTGTGTGGCCCCGGTTGACGTATAAGCCAGCGATATACAGCAGTAACACACGCATTGGTTGCCAAAACCGAAAATGGCTGACTTCATTACACGTCTACTGCTGTAGTCTACAGGACATCTTGACGTTTTACCATCACCTTTATTTCGCCCGAAGCTTTTTGGGGCAAATGTCCGATGCTTGAGGACGCTTGTCCTCTTGCTCTCGGTTGGTGCGGTCGGTCTGGAAGCTGGTACAGCTGGCCGCAGCCATTCCTGCTCACCCCCATCGCAGTTCGTGGTCCCTATTTCCATGCTTGTCTGAGACTTCGTTCATATGTAGACTACATGGCGAAGAAAGAGGCGGGAACACGACTGACTATTTTATTGCGGTCACGTCCCTCTGCCGCTCGCTATACAATGATACAAGTATAAGTCTTTGGATCACAGACAGCAGTTGGTATCGCGCATGTCATATCTATTTGCAGAATCAATCAACCATCAAACTTCGTGATTGGTAATGAAGATATGCATCAGTAGCCACGATGGGGAGGACGAGAACCCAGTTGTACAGGAATGGACGTACATACTTCTGTCAGTGCCGAATATACGTATTCTACATGTATAATGGTCGACGAGAGTCGTATATATTTTGGGCTCAAAATAATCTATTCAGGGAAGGACAGCCGACCTGGAACGAGACTGCAGTAATGAGGTATGCTAGCATTATTGAGGGCATGCGTATGAACGATGACATCATTTATTCTGTGGCACGGAAGGAACAAGAGGTCCAGTTCATCGACAAAGCGAGTCGTCTCTCGTTGTTTGTCGACGTTTTTTTTTTTTCAGTTTTTTTCGAGAGGAAGCGTTACAGATGCTCATGAAACATCCCGTTTGTGGTATGTGAACTCCTCACCCGCACGTTAGGCCTCTCAGCCCTCAGCCCAGCCTCCCTCAGCCGGTAGACCAGCACATCAGCACCCACCGCAACAAGGGTAAGGAAGGAACAATGAAGAGGGCTATTGCAACGCTGATGGGAGGCCTCATGGCCTCAGAGGCTTTCGTCCTTCCAGCTGCAGTGAGCAGAGGTAGGATGTGACGATGTGACACACGGAATACACGTGTTTTTCCCTGACAGACCCTACACCGCCAACGTGCACATGTTCGATGCCACCTGCTACGGCTGTCCATATCCATTGCCGTATGCTGATCGGCACCTCCTGGTACCCCGGCCTTGTTTCCTTCGCACCACACCTCTTCTCGGTGCATAGGCTCGTGCTCAACACATGAAACCTTTGGGTGAGGTACAAAAATGAATGATCTCCCGACACCCCTTCTTGGCTGCTCAGTCTCTGGCTGTGCTGACTTTGTTGTGTTTGCCGTGAATCGGGAAGATACCAAACCGCCCAGGGTCAATTCTCCAAGCTCAATCTTCCGAACGCCGGAAGAGTTGGAAAGGAACTTTTGTGTACATATATCTTCGTATCCCATACTTTGTTTCATGACCACGTGTTGCGGAAGATACCACTTCCCCTGGATCGGGTTTTAAAGCTCGACTACTCGATTACTCTGCAGCAAAATGGTCACGAGGCTGAAAATGGCGGCGTTGGAAGGATTTGGTCTTGAGCTTTCTTCTGAAAACGTATCATTTGATCGCGGTATTCTTTTCGTCCGTGGAAAAATCGAACCCTGATAAGTTGAGGGGGTGGTATCTTACACTTTTACCTCGTAGAATGGAGTATGCGAACAACCTCGGGTACCCTGCGGCCTTTCCTGCCGAGGCGAAGGGCTCCGATCCGGGGGCCACGCAGAAAATTCTCTGCAGTAGATATCTTCAACGTTTGGGGCGGGGGGCACAGTCGTACATCCATGATGTATCATGTACAATCGCGAATTCAAATCGTGATATTGTGATCTTCACCAGCCAATCGGCACGAGGTTAGGAATCCAACTATAATAACTACTGTGCACATTGAGCTGCACCCTCCCAGAGATCTTGCCGCATCGACTTTCGATGTCTTTCGTTGACCTTCAAATGAAATTCGTACTGCGCCTTAAGAGTGCATGATTTGATGGTTCCACAGACCAACTACCGGTACAGATGGAAGGCTCTTTCGATAAATGGCTGCAGCAACCTCACGGCCCCTTGTTGTGTCTTGGTTGTGCCATCGTACAGTGCCCTCTTTGAGGTTGTGCGCTCTCCACGTTTCCCGTATTCAGCGCGGATCCAATCTACAGGATGCGTTTTCCTATCGCCCGAGAAAGGGCACTCTTCTTTCGCACTATGTGCCACGGCACCTCCAAAGACATGAGCACCAGATCAACACAGCCGAACCGAGGCGACCTCTCCTGTCTCGCCGACCTCTTCTCGTCTTGCACACCACGGCAAAGTCCTTTCGTTGATCGACCTTATTACGCTCACCCAACCCTTCACCCATCATCCGTTGCCGCAGGTCTCGCCGCAGCCGGGTCTTCCAGCCGCGAGGTCGTGAGTTGCTCTGCCTCAACTTCATCTTCATCTTCCTCTTCCTCTTCCTCCCAGGGAGGCGGGCAGAACAACCGCGTTGCTTTCCTCCACAAGGCTGGGCTCGCGGCGGCCACGACTGTTGCCGCGGTGACGGGCTCTCCGCTGCTTGCTCGTGCCGAGGAGGAGGATGAGGTGAAGGTGGGAGAGGAGGTTACGACCGACAGCGGCCTCAAGTACACCGTCACGGTTGCTGGAAAGGGCTCCAAGCCTAGCCCTGGAAACATGGTCAAGGCCCACTACACCGGTAAGCATGTAATGTAGTCGTTCAAGTCGTATCGTTAGGAGTGCATTATTATGGTAGTGGTAAACAGTCCGAATTTGCAGAACTGTGTGTTCCCGAATTGGTCCAACGGGATCGGTGATACCGCCGACGTACTGCTGCTGTCGACCGTCACACCTAACGCGATCCCGCTAATATCACTTTGATGAATTTTTTTCTTGCTTGCTTGATGCGGGCGGAAGAGCCTGACTTCGTTTCGTTTCGGCGCGATGCAAGATCAGAAAAAAACGGCGAGCAGGATTAAAATACATGATGACTAGAAAAGTGTAGGCATGTGTGCGTTGTCATTTTGTTGCCCTTTCGCCTGACACCGAGGAGTACGTGTATTGTTTTCCGAACCAGGATGGCTGAATGCCTTCGGCGATGAGGATGGCGCGAAGTTCGACTCATCCCGCGACAGGGGGAGACCGTTCTCGTTCAAAGTGGGAACGGGACAGGTGAGGCTATTGGACCGAGAGAGAGAGACAGAGAGAGAGAGAGAGAGAGAGAGAGAGAGAGACGACGTGAGGCCGACCTTGTGCTCCATGAATCATTTGGCGGTTTTCTTGGGTGTGCACCGTACACATCTGTTGTTGGGAACCTGTTAAGTAAATGCTTTGTTGTTGCTGTTGCTGTCGTCGGTACATAGACTAGCTGACCTTAAGAACCCGTTTTGGGCCCTGCGCAGAGATATGCGCTACATCCGAAACTGAGAAACGTGCGCCAATGTCTCGTGCTTTTGTGTTGGACAAATCAGGTGATCAAGGCCTGGGACGAGGCGATGCTCGACATGAGGGTAAGAGAACATCCGAAGAGACGCACGAATATCCTGGATACATGTGCTGTTGGTTGTGTACGATACAAGACTTTCCATGGGAGCCAATCAACTGCAGTTGCGGGAGTTTGACCATGCTTCTTGGAGGCGTGGCGATACTAGAATAGTGCGCAGCAGACATGAAAATTGTCGAAGATGCTTTTCGAAGCATGCCCATTGCTTAGTGTAGGTGGAAACGCCAGATACCATCACCTTTGGTGCATCCATCCAACTCTCGTCATCGACCGCGATCAGGGTATCTCGTAAACGGGTCGCCGTTAAGCAGTACGTCGTCTTCCAGCCCATTTCTGCTAGATCAATCACACATTAGAGCTGTTGTTTGGTTCTGAGCAGATAGCCAGCGACACTACATACTGCCGTGCGCATGTTCCCCTCTCCGTGTGTCTCTGCTCTTTGCTACCGACGCGTGCCGACCTATGTGTTGGCGTTAACAATTGGACCCCACGCTGCTGTGTCGTGTCCTGTCTGGTCGTGTCACGGACGTGGTTCCGCAGATCGGGGAACGCCGCCAGATCACGGTGCCGCCTCAGCTGGGGTACGGCAGCCGCGGCGCAGGAGGCGTGATTCCCCCGAACGCCACACTCTACTTCGATGTCGAGCTCCTCGCCGTGCAGCCCTAGGATATCGATATTGGAGTTATAGCCAAGAAATACGACTAGAGGTTCGGGGCATCTTTGTCCAAAGAAAGAGGTTCTTGAAGCGGAGAGTGGCGGGCAAGTAGGGGCACCGGGGCCGAGAACAATGATGTGTAGAAGGAGAGAGGCCGTACAGTAGAAAGCGGCATCAGTGTTGTACGGGGAGTTTTCCGGAACCAAAGCAGTGGGACGACGCACTCTACCGCGCACGCTGCGAGTGACGGTACTTTACTGCTGTACAGATGTGGCGATCGCTCCAAAGCAAAAGCTATCCCTTCTTGATCTTCTGTGAGGTCCTCCCCTTTTGACTATTTTAGGCTCTCCACTCCCTTCTCAAGAGATGATGGGCGCATGTGCGGCCAACTGTGCCTTAGGGAAATGGGCATGCAGCACTGTACCAAATAAGGTGTTCTTGTTTTCCGTGGAGAATAGGGCGAGGCGGGGTTCTCTAGCTAGAAACACGGCAGTACTGTTGAACATGTTGGGCACCGGAAGTAACATCCCGTCTTGCAGCAGAAACGAGGGCATGAACCGCGACCATACGACAACGTTAGGTAGTAGTAGTGGGGTGTTCTTGTTATAGACCTAGATTCATTCGTAGTTTGCAGGCCATCGTCCACTGCTGCTTTCGACAGCAACAAGTTATCGCGTGCGACGAAAATGCTGCTAAATTTGGTCGTTCCCAACATTCGGCGTGTTGTCTTGCACATCAACCGGGGTCGGTGACACCGGAGGAGGAAGGCCTGTCTCACTTGGCACAGGACCTTGTTTGATCTGTTTCCTCTCCGCCTTGTTCCTGCGGTGCTTGCCCTGCTCTTTGTCGCGAAAAGGACTCACCCCCCCCCCCACCTCGTCGACGTTGGAAGTGGAATATGTTGCGTACTACACGAATCCATCGCTCTCCACACAAATGCGTGGCCATAATATTGTGCGAAAAAGTCCCGGTCCGAGTGAGTTGACTTGACCGAGGTTCGAACCCACGTCCAAAACGTTCAAGGTTTGCCTGCTGCATCCTGGACATAACGCTGCCAACAGCACGGTAACAGAAACTTCGTTTTGCGCATCGCCACCAAGCCGTCTAGTGCTGGGACACGCAAAGAGCACCGAAAAAGTGATGGGGGGATGTCAACCAATCCACGCCCCTTCGAGTGACTGCTGTGACAATGCCTCCGTATGTCTATTTCGTTGCTCATTCGTTGACGGATGACCCAAAAAAAGTATAAGCACAACCGTGGCCAACAAGCCGGCCATCCGAGTAGCTACAATCAAGACGACCGTTAGTCACCCCCGCCGCAACCACTACCGTGGACGAAAGTGCTACAAGGAGATATATTCCGAATCTGCCAGGTGGTGGGAATAGGAAAAGGTTGTTCACCGAGCACAGCGATCACCAACACGCGCTACGGTTACGGAAAAACACAACAGAAATACATACTGTACCATGGTGCACAAACGTATCTAAACGGCGCGGTACCCACCTATCAAACTCATAACTTATACTATCAATCTCGGACACCGTGAATGCAGCAGTTTTTGTACAAAACACAACCAGGCTCGGGAGAAGTGAACACCTTGTCAGCCCGACCAGCATCATCGTTGCAACTCAGCGAACCCAAAACTGTCAACCTAATGAAAAATATTTGGTAGACGTTTCTGAAGGCAGCTGGTCGGCGCCTTTTCCAGCCCAGCCCTTCGAAGGAGAAAGAACATTGTTCTCCGCGTAGGAATAAACAGGAAATATATATGATCAGATGAAGCGGTCCGCGTATCGCTCGTCCGAACACCGGCAAACATCTCTCTTTCCCATCACGCTGTAACGGTTGTCCGCGACGGTGTCGTACATCTTATTCCGGACAAACTGGAAGGGTCACCGCCGGAGTAGAGTAGAGGGTCGGAAACAGCGGTAGTGTACGAGCGTTTACGGCCATTCCCTTCATACCAGGTATGCTAAAGTATCGACAGCACCATGACAATGCTGTGTGGAATGCGAGGAACCTTGCTGCATCTACGTAGCTTCTCCGAAAAAAGAGGCGTTGATGAGGCGGCGGGTTGAAAGGCACGCCACGTTGCGAGGACACAGCACACCGAGGTGCAAATCTTTCGGCCGAAAACACAGCGGGGGAAAATCTACTGCTACCGTGACGCCTTTCGTAGGAAGCTACATACGAGGCAGGCACATGCTTGACGTACACATGACAGCATCAGATCATATCCACAAATGCAGGGCACCAATCTCGTAAGGTTATTCTTCATGCAGCACTTGACTTGACTTCACACCTTTGGGACAAGGACACCAGGGAGAAGGACAAGGCCCACAGGTCCCCCTAATAACCGCCCCATCCTGAGTAGCGCGTCCGATTGGATGTGAGCCGCTCCGCTTTGCTCGACCAGTACGATGCTTGATACGGGCAAACACACAGACGTGCGGGATTGACGTTTAGGTGAGACCTATGCGTAAAAGGGCAAAGACTACAAAAAAAATCAAAGCGATCACACCAACGTTTATGACAGGATTTAAAGAATAATAGTTCCAAGTACTTGTTACTCCGTCGCATTGCGAGGATCCATGGCGAGATCAGGGCTTGTCGTGTATTGTACAATGTGTGTGTACCTGGAAATGTCGTCGGGCGACCTCCCGGAGAGAGCAAGAAGCGCGCGACCAGTTTGGCTTTGCAAGGCAGAAAACCTGAACTTCTCGTCCGTGTCGACGTCAAGGAACAGGTTCACGAAGCCGTTGCACATGTTGCAAACGCCGTCGTACAGCAGGACAGGGCGGGCGTCCTTCTCAAAGACGCTGGCAGCAATGCCGGGCAGTATTGCTGCGTCATCGACAAGCTCGAGGGCGGACGACTGCTGCTGCTGTTGTGCCATCACAGGTCGGGTCACCGAGCGAGGAGTCGCCTTATGCCCGCTCCTGACGACATGAGATGCCGTGAATCCCTGCCCCCTCGTAGAGAGCATCGCGATCGCGACGATCCAGAGCGCGACAACAGCAGTCCCATAAAACGCGTGACGAATGACACCTATGACGGGAGGTACATGAGTACACATGCGAGAGGTTCGAGTGAACAATGCCTTGGCTTAGTTAGTCGCGGCAAGCTGGTGACCCCCCCTCCGGAAACACACAACCCTTACCCGTGTACTCCTAAAAAGGGTCATTCTCAACTCTCCGAGAGTCAAGGCACCCACAACATTAACTTCACCGGCACACACACACACGCGGTCACACGAAGAGACTTGCAGCAGCCTATTCCCCCCCTCGCTGCCCTTCGGTGGAGTGAACAGCAAGGACAACGGATTGGACCTTAGGTTCATGACGCCTAAACGAAAGCCACTTCTTCCAAGAAAAACAGGAGCATGCTGCAATATCTCATCGCACGCTTAAAGTGCACAACAGGAGGTTCAAGCAACCAAAAGCGTATACGGCACATTTCTGTGCTGTGCCACAGGCATCATACGTAAGTAGTGGGGTGCATCTGAGGACGCACGGCGGTTGCTGCTGGCACGAACTCAGAGCTTCAACCAGGTGTAGACGAGCCCACGTATCTTATGTAGCACGTGAGTGAGTGCTTCGCACGTGGATCGGTGGAGAGCGCGGCGGGCAATGTGCAGCTACCCATCGCGGCCCTAAGCAATCCCCCGATGCTTCCTCAGCCCCTCCAACGAGTAATTCCAACATACAAACGAAATTGAATGCTGTAACACGACACGGTATTATTGTATGCGTACACAAAACATACGAGGTATATTACCAGTATCATCACACACGTCCTACAGCAGCAGTCGATGATACCGCGCAGTCTAGACTACTTGCCAGGTTGTACGTGTTTCGTGTAAACGAGAACAAATTTGTACATACAGCAGCAGTAGATCATGAAACATTTGAATGATGTCTTGGAGAAAAGGAAGCCATTCCATACACTACCTGATTGCATGTTGACGTCGAGTGCCACAGCAGTACAGTAGTATACCAGTGCTTCGACGGCGAAACGAGACACAAAGACGCAAACACCAGCGTACGCGCGGCAGAGTAGATGGTCGATGATCGATGACGAAGATAGGATCTGACGGACTGTACAGAAAGCTGCATCAGCAGGACCAGCAGGGGGGCGGGTGAGTCATGCCTTCGATGCAAGCATACAGCAGATCACCAGCCAATTCCTCCATCAACACTCTAGATTTCGGAACTCACCGCAAACGTTGATAAAGGAGTCTCGATCCCTTCTCTCTTTGTCCTGTCGAGCTCTGTCTGGTTGCGTGTGCTGTCAGGATAAGCAGTGTTGGCTAAGCGCTAAGCAGTGAGCAGTGAAAGACGAACCTGCGGCGGAATTGTGGTGCGGCATGATTTGCGAAGGGGGTGGCATCATTTGGCGGTGCCCCGCTTATCGTTGCAATCGCAGCACACATAGCACAGCCAAGCCAAGCAAAAAGGCTGTTGTGCTCCTTGACACTCTGAATATGGCAGAAGGGTTCACAGCCGCAGACTACGTCACAAGCCTGCCTTTGTCCGAGGTGCAGGGCAAGCGATTGTGGCTCTTGAGGGTTCCCCGACATATCGACACATCCAGACTGGAGGTGAGAGCATCTCTGCCGTGCGGTGTCTACAGCTCTGGTCTGGCAAGAGAGAGAGAGAGAGAGAGAGAGAGAGAGAGAGAGAGAGAGACCCGTGACCTGCGTGGGGCCGTCCCGCTGTTGGCGGTTCACGATCGGTGCTGTATCTGCATGGCACATGATGAAAAGTCTCGACTCACTTTGTTGGTATCGCTTTTGTATCATAGTGCGTCGTACGGTGAGCCATCGCCAATCAAAATCAGGCCGGACAGAGAGACTTCCGCACTACTTGTTGTACCCTCGAGTATAGTGAGTCGGGGTATGTCGAAGCCACCAGGACCTGCGGCGGTATTTGGTTGTGCCACAGCGTCTGTTTGCTGTGCACGACAACATTTCAAATAACCGTGTTGCTGGTCGATACTGCTGTCCACTGCTGCTGCTGTACGCGTATGCATACCACGAAACGTCTTCTCTCTCCGTCGACAGGGTGTCAAGGTTAAGCTGCCACGAAAGGGCCGGGAGGGGAAGGTGTTGGGCAGGGCCAACAAGCGAAACGATAGCGAAGATGGAGATAGCGACGAGGAGGGTGGAAACCGAGACGGTGAAGATTTGGCGCTCAGGGCAGGAGACGTTGCGGAGACCCATGGGTTCCGGGCCCTTTTCAGCGCCAAGGAGGATGGCGCGTTGGCCGCCGCGCCTCCATTTGTTGGCCAGGTGATGAGGTGGGGGGGTGTCGGCGACCTTCACCCACAGAAGAAGAGAAGAAGAGAAGAAGAGAAGAAGCGAAGAAGCGGGTCTTACGGTACTGGGTTGCCTGATCATGTCATGTCGTCGTGTTGTGCACATGCTCGCTCGATGCAATTTAGGCCCTGCGGATTTTTGTATGCAAAAGCAATGCTTCCGTCAGGTTTTCGGTACAACATGCTAACATACTCCGGAGTAAAAATTCTGTTCAAAACTACAATACATCAATCTATCCTGCTGTACTTGCGTCGATGCATCGATCATGCGCTGTTATGTCGTTCTGGGTGCCCCCAACAGACTAGGGAGACAAGCACTCACCCCCTGAAACGAGGTGTTTTGTGTTTTGCCTTTCACACTGGCCCTCCTACAGCAGTAGCCCCCCCACCTCTGAGAACAGGGTGTTCTTCTCACCCAACGATACGACGTATTATTCACCCCCCGGAGCAATCTCGGAGCAATCTCAAAGGAGATCCGGAACCTATGGAATAGAACTGCTGTACGAAGTAGTTATCTATTGTAGATACCCCTCCAGCGAGTGGCGGCTTGGAGTCGACAAAACTGCGAGGAAGCGAATCGGTAGATCTACCTCTACCCCCGTCAGTAGCTTGGATCCCGATAGCGTTGTATAAGTTTATTATTGTATCATTGTATGATTGACAAAACGTTCCGAAAACCCCCGCAGCTCTCATGCCGCGGCAGTATGTACGTGCCCCTTCTTGTCCCACATGGCCTCCAACATGGGTCTGTCTGTGCAGCCAGAGTTTCGGCTTCCACTAACCCGTCGAACATTTGTTGACCAGTTCTCGAAGGGGACGTTCCGGTTCGTCATGGTGACGGTTTCTCGTTCGCTAGAATAGAGCTTCGATTTCGTCGGTGATGTGCGCCTTGAACATCATCGCGAGAAGACATGAACATCCCCTCTCTCTCGCCAGCAATCAAGTCGAATCTGATGTGCTCACGTACACAACGGCTTTCGAACTACAAACCCGCGGGAAACCACCGACGACCTTGACATTTCAAAACTTTCATACTTGGGTTGACCATGAAGATAGGTTGAATGTCTAAGAAGGCGTCTCTCTCTCTCTCTCTCTCTCTCTCTCTCACGCGCGCACCGCGTTCAGCTGTTTCTTCCAGCCGTTTCTTCCTGCTTGACGCATGTAGCTTTGCAGTCCATGGACGCGCACACGTGTGTTCCAAACACGAGGACCTGACGGCTGATGAAGAGCGAATAGTGATCCAGAGCTCTCCCAAACCGCCCCTCTTGCGCCTGTCGTGTTACATTACATGCCTGTTTGCTACTCCTATTATAATAGGTGAACGTTTCAGTGGACATGCCAGATGTTGACGCGTCCGTTGCGGATGGCGACCCACGCGTAGACACGTTCGTCGAGCCCTACCAGGGACGGCCTCAGCTGAAGGGAATGCGGGTGCGTTACAAGCCGGCCAGAGCAGGATCAGGTGGGTGGCACTCTACTGTTTGTGCTGTTGTCTTTGTTGCTGTTGTCTTGACATTATTAACTGTACCGGTCTCCGCTCGGTACCTTGTAATGTCCGTACTGGTCCAACTGACGCGAACGCCTTCCCAGTTGTGTCACCCGGCGACGATGTGCGTTTCGCGGGGGAAGCTCATAGGCCATTCTGTATCATTCTTTATCCGAGGGCGCCATCTGCATGTATGACACTGCGGCACGGCGCAGGGGGTCGTGCAGAGAGAGAGAAACCTTAACTTTTTTTTAATCTTTTTTTCTCAGAGAATACCGAACGGGTGTTGTTTGAAAAATTCCTGGTTTAGCAGGAAGATCAGTACCCTATCAAAGAAACCTTAGCTTTATTGAACCTTTCTTCTCAAGCGTATGTGGAAAGAGCGTTGTTCGGAAAATTTCCCTGTTGGGCTGGACGATCATTCCCCTATTTTAGTCAGTCGTGCCTGTACCAGTAACTCAGTCTGTTCGACTGCTGTAAATTCCTTCTTCGACACAGACACGGCTGTTGCTGTTAATATTAACTCTACACGCAACGGCTTACGAACGCGCATACTCACTTAAAACAACAAACACGCTACTGCTGTACATTACTTCCCACCCAGAGTATTCGCCGTGTCGCCCGCCAGCTGGACATGAACAACCAAAGGGACGCCAAGACGATGAAGATGGTGCAACACCGGCTACCCCCGACCAGGGGAAAAAAGCGAAGAAAGCTTCTGCGGCCAACTCCAGAGGAGTAGCAGCGGCGCAAGCAGCAGAGGTTTCTGCAGAAACACCGAAAAGCTCCAAGAAAAAGAAGAGAAAGTCGACGGCGGGGGGGGTTCGTGCAGAGGAGGAGGGGCACGGGGTGTCTTCGGCCAAGAAGTCCAAGAAGAAGAAAGGCGTCGAAAGATAGCCGCCGCCATATGCATAGGAGCTTGTACAGAATAGATCGACATTGGTAGTGGTAGTTGCAGCAGGCATCTATTGCGTTGGGTGCATCCGTAGTGTGTCCAACGGAGTTCGTTTCAAGGTTCATTTCGCGGGCTGGGCTACGTAGCATGTGATGTGAGCCGGGATGGATGTCGATTCTGCTCGAGAATGTTAATGCCTGCACACCCACCGGAGCTTCTGCATGTTTCAATGTTTTCCACGCGACACTCTTGACTCATGGCTAGGCGGGAGCGTGCACACCGATTTCACGTGTGTCTCTCACCCACAGGCATGCACCGAAGTCGTGCATCTGTAGCTGACTACAAGTTGTAAGGCTTACAATGCTACCGTCCCGAAGAAAGAGAGCGATTTGCCGATTGTCAATGCTGCAGTCCTTGCTGACGCCCATGACTATTTACGACAGACTTTGGTACGCAGCTGGAACTTGGACGGAGTTGATTGGTGAAGGCTGGCTTGTCATGTTCAGATATCTGCGAGGTCTGAGCAAGAATAGGCTACTCAGGAAAGCATTAGTTTCATGATTTTGTTGAGGCTCAATTTCTTAGTGCGCGTTCTGTAGACTATTTTTCTACCAGGTACTACTCTAATCTACAGCAGTATTTTCGTGTAGGTGACATGAGATACCTCACCCCCCGGAACAATTTTTAAAGCGAGATTACTCGAAGACGAAAGTGGAGATAGATGCGCAAGTATCAAGTGACCCACGTTTTTGGAAAGCTCTCGGCGGGACGGTTCCAACGCCGACATTTTCGGCACCGCTGCCATTTTTGCTTTGGAGTGTATCCGAGCTTTGAAAAAGTCGGTCCGGGGAGTACCTTGAGTCACCGACACTAACCCATTGTGTTGTACTTAGAAGTAGGCCGAAGTGCGCAAACCTCCTCTGCGAAAAATAAGGTTTTCATATCGATTGGAGGCCAAAAGACGCACATCGGCCGATCGGCTTATTTTTTTTTTGTTCTTTTTGGCGCGGCGGAAGAAAAAAATAGAGCGAGAGCCGTTTGATTCGAAAAACAGCAGCACGACACACGACACATCGTCATCATCGCCGATAGACGACAGACAACCCCTTCTCCGAAGCCGCAACCTCCACCACCTCGACGCCAGGGTTAAGCTGCGCGTGTAGTCTTCTTGCTGAGGGACCGCGCAGATTCATCGACGAGCGAATATCGCGTGTGGTTCGCGTTTGTTTGCTTTTGGAACATTTGGGCCTGGCGCTTGTACGCAGGAACAGCTCGGCTCATCACACCCATCTGTTTAAGCCGCGACAGCAGCAGTACAGCCGCAGCAGCAATGGGGTTCACCCGTAAGAGCGCGGTCCTCGCCCTTTTCTTCCTCGGGCTTGCCGCTAGGCAAGCCTCGGCTGTCACCACCTGCCTCGCCCTCATCACCGCGGTTGAGGCCATCTCCGGCACAGGGACGGTAGAGCTCGAGGGCGGCTTTACCTGCGAAGCATACATCACGGTCGCTGCTAGCCAGGATGTCACCATCAGCGGTGCCTACACGATCACTCTGGGCGCACCCTTCGCCGGCAGCACGAACACGGACGCGGGGGGCAGCCTGTTCGAGAACGAGGGCACGCTGAAGCTCGACGGCATCACGTTCGCCACGGAAACAACGGATGGGAACCGCGCTGTCTGGAACACGGGAACGCTTTCGGTGGAAGGCTGCACGTTCGAACTTTACCCAACCGGAATCTTTCTCTCCAGGGGCGGTGTGGTGAGTGACTGGCGGGCAGCCCACACCACCGAAATAACGGCATGCAGGCACAAGACACAAGACAACAGAAGTACCGTAGCTCCACCTCGCCGTTTCGCATCCTGCCTCACGTCCTCTCTTTCCTGATCGATAAATTTGTAACTTGCTGCTGTAGATCCCAACGCCACACAAAAAATCGTGAGCGGTGACGGGATGTCATCTGCCACATTATGTATTGTATGACGTCTTGACGCGAATGAGAGGACGTGGCAGGGCCGGCAGCTTATTGGATTTTGTTGGATGTGGCATTTAATCCTACTTTGTGCCTCCTCTCTCTCCGTTGTGTTCTCTTAAATACAAACATACAAGCAGTTCCTTCACATTTTCCCCCTCTCTCAATCTTGCCCCCCCCCCCTGATGTATGACACGCATATGACCAGTAGGCCCTCTCTGATGACTGACGCCTGATGGCCGACAGACTGACATTTGTTCTCACTATTGTGCAGTCACTGGTCAGCTGTTCGTCTTCCACAGGCTGAAAAATTGTCCGCGCCACATTCTTTCGGATGAACCCCGACACCTCCTCACTCCTCACACAGAGCTTTGAACACCCTCTCGTGAATCTGTGAATAGAGGCTATGCTTGATCGGGGTGGAGTGTAACATGTTCAGTTCACGCTGCTCTTTTGTCCGGCATTACCCCTCTCAGCGGGACACCTTGTGTTTTCTTTCTCTCCGCTTATCCCATCGTACGATCGATTTCCTTGGTCCTCTTTCTATTTTTGTTGTGTATTTTTTTAAATGGGAGGTAACAATACTACCCCCGGCGCGGACAGCAGCAGCAGTGCCATAGTGGCTGAGCAAAGGCCGGACCGCCACCAATTGGATTACAGCACAATAATGAGTTGAGCGTAGGGCGGTGCCCGTAAACATTTTTCTGAAATGACAGGTTGCATACTTTCTACGCGTGTTTTATCAGTTCTGCTCACCTTGCTTGCTCAAAAGTCTGTTTTGCAAAGGAAGAGAAATATACAATATCTCAAACGGGCATGTCACAGCAGTGAGATGGTTTACTTTCTAGAAAAATTGATACTCCCGAACTACAATGTACAGAGAAAGAAACAGAGGGTCTGTGTGTGTACGTCTAGAATGTAGCAAACGTCTCACACCTCTCACCAGGGAAGGAATTGGGGCTGAAGTTTCCCTCCGTATGCTGTCTCTCTACGGCGATAGTTGTGCACGGATCAATGTCCGAATGCCATGTGGTATCTCACAGCTACAGGCATTCATGTTATTTAGCGATGATGCGAAAGTATATGATATTCGTGCAACGTTAGTTTTCCGATTTGGAAGTTTCCATATGGTGGGGATCTCTTTTTCTCACAAACGCGAAACACACCGGTCACTACTCACATGAGGTTCCCAAGCGAAGACGCAAAAGGGTGACATGCATAGTGAATTGGTTGTGTCGTGCGCGAACAATACTTGGAAGTGATGAAACAGCCACCCTCACGTGCCTCAAGGAGCACCAACGGCACGCCAACTACCTACCGTATATGACACAAGATAACACACCTACATAAGAAACCACACACTCCACAGATTACGACACCCCGGTTACATTTTTGGGCGTTTCTGACAACCCATCGATTCATCACCCGGGATACACAAGATAACACACCCCGGTGATCAATTAAGGTTACGCGGCATATATTCACGGGGCTCCTCCTATAATAATATCACCGGGGTGACAGCATCTGTCCCTGGGCATCACACACAACACACACCCTCTGTGTGCGGGAAATGCCCCGCTTGGAGACCTCCAACAACATGAACATGCAGGAAGAAGAGCAGACTGTCGCCGCAAGTACCTCCGCTTCTTCCACAACTGCTTCGACCGCAGCACAGGCGCAGCAGATCATTTCGTTCTTTCAAGCCGAGCAAACTTGTTGTACGCAAGCGGCGCCTGCTACGGCTCCTCCTCCTTCTGCTGTTGATCTAACCACAGCAGCAGCTGGCACAGCAACAGACGACAACATGACAGCCACCGCCTCGCCTCACCAGCAGCCAGTTGCTGACTCGCTCTCGGCAGCACGTACAAGTACCGCAGATGAGTCAACACGCACCACCAAAGCCTCTCAGCTGGTGTTGGGGGACACCCCCTCATTATCACACCCTCAAACACACCCTGTGGGTGTTCGAACGTGCTACAACGTGACACCCCCTTGTTATCACACCTCCTCATTGATCACACCCCGAAACCCACCCTGTGGGTGTTCGGACGTGCAATCACCCCCCTCTGTGTATCACACCCCCTTAGGGGCCCCTGCGAGCTGCACTTTATCACCCGGGGTACATAAGATATCACACCCCCCACAGGATACCACACCCGGTGATAATATTCTTCATCCCAAAAATGTTGATCACCGGGGTGTGTTATCTTTCGTCATTTACGGTACATGTCTCCCAGCCCCCACCATAACACGCGCATACCGTGTACCATGACACAAGATAACATACCCCCTGGACCGGTTTTCAAAGCTCGATTTATCAAAAGTAGAGAGAATCGCAGCGCCCGCAAAGGCGGCGTTGAAGCCGTCTGGTCAGAGCTCTCCGAAAGCGCATCGTTTCGTTCATGCATCCTGTTCTTGGTGGAGTAATCGAGCTTTGAATTTCGATCCAGGGTTTGTGGTATATTTTTTCATATACGGCTTACATCTGTGCAAGTCACACCACCGACGATAGCCTATTCAATGGCCTCTTGGAATGTCTAAATGTAAATGCCACTATAATAGTGCACGCCGCCGCGAACTCAAAGTTGCAAGTTGTAGTCAGTGAACCCCGCGACTGATGGGTGTCCTGCTGTTGGCACGTTGGGATTCAATCCGAGCGAACGCGTGCTTGCTCAACACTGCTGTTGACGCTGAAGTGTTGCACGTGCCCCGTACTGCTGTTTGTTCCTTCTCTGCTGCCTGCTGTGCCAGATCTACTCCGACTCTGCAGGAACGATTTCCATCTCAGACTCCACCTTCAAATCAAACCTCGCGAGCGAGAGGGGCGGTGCAGTGTACGCCATCGGCTCCGAAACCCTCACCATCACGGACTCCCTTTTCAGGGGCAACGAAGTTGGGACGGGCGTTGCCGCGGACGGCGCAGGAGGCGACGTTTACGCAGGCACCAATGTTGACCTCACGGTCACTGGCACGACGTTCTCGACGTCTGCGGCCGAGTACGGTGGAGCTGCCATCGAGTGCTGCGGCGCGGTAATCTCCGACACTGTCTTCACGGGAGCGGACACTGCCAGCGACGCCGTGAGTCGACGGAGGGGTTCAAGAGAGAAACGAACGCGAGAAACTGCTGTCCCAGTCATCTGCTGTTCATTTACTCTGCCTCGGTTTTGGGGAGCTCCTTTGCCGCTGGCATATCTTAACGGAAACGCTCCTGTTTCCACCGCTTGACTTGACATGCCTGCTGCACAATCAAGCCAGGACTCACGTGTTGTCTGGAAGTGGGCATGTTGGCTTGTCTTTTTTTCGCATGCCCTGCATGCCTTCCATCGCCGTCCAAATAGTTGCACAGTAGCATGGTCCTTTCACGATGACTTAGAGTTCGTACTGCTGTATCTGTTCACACCGAGCACCATTATGATTCGCTCCTACTGTACCCGTCTCCCCGACAAATGCAACCTAATCTTGGATCAGGCGCACTACGGCGGGGCGCTGCTGGTCAACCGCCCTGACCAAGACGGATGCCCGAGGGAGCTTGACCTCTCAAACTCGACGTTCAGCGGATGCACCGTAGGAAGCACTACTGGAGCGGGCGGTTCCGTGGCCATCTTCGACACTTCGGCAACAATTACCGACTGCACTTTCGAGAGCAGCGTTGGCACGGCGGTGCTGTTCTCGTCTTCCAGCGATTCCGGAGAACACCAGCTTCTCGTGAGTGACGCGCGTTTTTGTGGTCAAGTGCATTTTTGTCGACGATTCCACTTGGGTGAGGATGTCCACATGTTCCGCATCTTGACCATTCACTGCTCTCCGCTGCTTCCCGAACGCCTCCTTTTGTCTGCGTTTCAGATGGACTACGTTCAGTTCAACCTCAACACCTTCCCCGCTGAGGCCTACGCCACCGACACTGAGCAGGGAGCTGCGATCGTGGTGACGAACACGGGCGTGGCGGATGTGAGTTTGTTTCGCTTGGCCGTGATGGCTTCGGAAATGGGTTTGCTTTCGATGTGTTGCAAGTGTTCTTGAGCTGGAGGCAAAACCCTCAGATTTTGGTACGGACTATTCGATGCAATACTTTTGTTCGCCTCATGGGGGTGACACCTCTGCCATTTCTTTTCCCTTCGGAAGGTGCTGCGTTGGGTGTTGGACATTCCTGTAGTAGTCGTGCAGGGAATATTTGAGACCGCCTTGGGCGAGGCGGAAGGAACTGGCGGTCGCTGGGGCCCCTTGAGCGATCAACACTTTTTACTCCCCTTGGATGCGGATCAAACATCGAAAGTTCTGGCTCGTGTCCAATGTCATCCTATATCATTCCATTCGTGCCAGGGAGAGACGACGGTGACCATGGGCGAGTTCAACGACATGTACTGCTTCGCCAATGAGCCTTACGAGTGCGAGTTTGTGTACGATCAGTCGGACATCGTCCACAGCGGGGAGTTTAAGTGCCAAATCTGCGACATCGAAGGGGAGCGACAACAAAGTGGCACCGACGACGATTTGATCGAGTGAGTTCAGTGATGTGTATTGGCCGCCGCCTGTTGAAGAAAAAATAAAAAGTGTCAGTTGAAAGCGTCCCTTCCGTAGAGCGCTAATATGTTGTCCGATAATAGGTTGCAGGTTTGTTCTTCATCCCATGGATTTCTCGACAAGAACAAGATTGAAACGTATGTAGTGATATATTTGTGATTGTGTAACTTGGCCTCGTTGGTGATTCTGATTCGTCGGTCGTCTTTGGCGGCATTTCCTCTGTTGTAGATGTCGCTGGCTATGTAGCCGGAGACCGTTGAGCAGCGAAAAGAAGATTGTTGTATTGGGGTTTTTTCCTGGGCACCCTCTGGACAGAGAGAGGTGCTTGTCTCGTCGGCAAGGCAGTAATGAAGGGATTTGACGGCAATAAGTAGGAGTGTGGGGGAGAACTAAGTTTTATAGACCAACGAGAAATGTGTCCGATGGTATCATAGAGTGGACACCGCAAGACCGCTCCTTTCTAGCCGGAAGGTCGTACCCCATGGAAAGTGTATCATGCAGGGGAGCTGAACAAACAACGAGATCAGAGGGGTAAGGTGCACATGCAAGCAAAATGGTTTGCGCGACGTACAGCAGGTCGAATGTCAAAATCAAGGGTGGAGGGATGGGGATGAATTGTTGTCCTTTGTCGGTTCATGAAAAAGCGCGTGCTGTCTGACTCCACTTCTACGTCACGTCCATCGGCACTGACCCCTCCTTTCACCGTTGTTGCCTACCTTTGCTTTTTTATTTCAGTGCAAGCGAGCGCAGCATCGACGGGGACTCTTCGTCCGACAACCAGGGCATCGTCATTGGCCTCTCGCTTGCCCTCGGACTGACGCTGGTCGTGATCGGAGCCTTGGCGGTATGGAAGTTCAGGGTGCGCAAGAATGCGCGCCGTCTCATGGAGGACATGGGCGAAGGCGACTTGTAAGCTTGCCCTGAGCAAGGCCGATGGTGATCTATCATCTATGATCCACCATCTATGATCTACAAGGTGCCATCGCCCGCGGGAGACAACCCAAGACACGGGTGTTTCGTGTGAATGGAAATGAAATGCGCTAGTGTGGTGGAAGTGCGGAGTTTGCCAGTTCGCGACCCTTGGCACCTGACGGTGCGTAGAGAGAGGAGAGAGGAGCAGCATATCTATTTGGCGGTTTGCCAAGGTGATACGTGCCGCGTGTGGAACTAAGCATATTTGGTAGCCTTTTTCACTCCCTTCGTAGGAAAAGAAAACACGGCTCGGTTCGTATCTAAGGAAGGTTGCCGCAGCAGTGGAGCGGTCCCGATTGTTCTCGCAGGAGGTTGAACGCCCACGGGATCATAAAAATGTATTCTAAAGTACGTTGTTGTCGGCTGGGTTGAGAGGTAGGAGGCAGCCCCTCAAACCCGTCAGCCAGTCAGAAGACCTTGGTTTTCAGCGGTGTAGTGGGCTTGTACCCGCGGGGGGCGGGAAACGGGCCACGAATATGAACGTGTCATCTCGTCGCCGCTGCCGGCTCGCCTTGCCACGAACCGTGATTGTTGTCTTGTGCTGTTTGCCTCCATCGCAAGAACCCTTGTCTATCGTTCGTTCGTCCATTTTTTGGTTTGTTGTGCACCGGCGCCTCGTGTGCCATCGAGCGGGCGAGCGGATTTGCGAGCTGACTTGGAGTAGACTATCGCATGCCTCAGTTTCGTGATGACTACGGCTGTGGCATCGTGCACGGTGATGCGCTCCAAGGTTGTTTGTTGAGAGCCATGAGAAATCAGCCACTGACACAACCCTTGCTTGAGTCTGGCATCATGTTTGTTATGCCCAAGCGCATGCATGCCGTGCGGACTAGGCGTGTGAAGTTTCTCTGTCAGTAAACTTTTTTTCTTTTGTGTGTTGGCATCTGCAGGCCGGGCGGTTGGATTGCTTCCCTTGGTCAAGTGGCATGCTAACTCTTTGACTAGTTTTCGGCGTCTAGCACGTCTGTGCTACCCCCGTAGGTTTGATGGATGTTTGTTGGGTAAGGGTTTGTGCAGTGCGGGGGGGTGGCGGTAGGGAAGCACAGAGGGCAGTGGACGCTAGAGAATGGTCTGTGTCGTACATATTGTAGTCTTGCAGAAAATGTTGGGTGTACCAGTACGAATTATCGTGCCAAAGGTGCGAATTATGGTTTCAGTAGGGCGTGCACTGTCTTACCTTATCTGTCCCTGGTGACCGTTGTTATTTGCATAAATCTCTTTTTAAATCAGCACGCGCCGCGAGACACGCTGCGTTTTTGCAAGTGTTGTTGTAGTTGCACGAAAACATGCCAAAAGCGTGCTTGAAATCGTCTGTCACGTGTCGGTACTGCTGCTGCTGCATGATAAGACCGGACAGACAAGTGCCGCCGTTGGCCACGACATACAACGTGTACATCAGTAGTACCCCTGACATGCATGTACACGCTCAAATCAACCTTGACACCACAAACTTGGACACCTTACCTCACAGCGTAAGCCGACTCTTTCGACGCGACAAGGGTTTCACCCCGCTTTCTAACATTGTACATGCTCTCCAGCCATTTAATATCCTCTAGAACTAGCATCGCAACAGATGCAGCTCTTCTCTCCCTGACTCTGCGAGGGAGAGAGACAACATCGCACATCACGCTACGATGAACCTCGGACTGCACTACACTACTACACTCCACGGTGGGTATTCAGCTGGAAGCCGACACGACATTTCTTGTCACAACCCGGCCCCGAGCACTCGTTGCTGAAACCACTCCATGAGAGCCGTCTCGTACGCTCTGGTGAATCTGGCGTCTTGAAGCTTTCGGTGCGCATTCCTCGCGCTCCGCTGTTGTAGTAGTAGCGGCATCCATTGTGGCATTGCAGTTTGTTGGATAACCACGTTCGTTCGTCGGGCCAAGGTTCCGGTGTACAGGGACACAGAGAGCAGTTTCAGACGTGCACGGGCAGGGAAGACGTTTACTTCGTACTTGTAAAGCGAGAATGTCGGGTGAATTTGAAGTAAAGACGGCGAATCCAGGAGGTGCTTGAGGTGTTCGAAGAAACCGAAGGCATGCCATCGTTGGGGGGGCGAGGGTAGTTGCAGGGAGGACTGGAGTCGCTATTCCGCTGATAGGGTGGGATCAGGACAACTCTGGCCTGGTCGCTAAAATCGAGGCCCGACTTGCTCTGGCCTGACAAAGGTGGCAATCATCGCCCCTCACTCACTTATTGTAGCCCAGGTAGTGGTGGGTGTGACTTGGTGTGGCTTTTCTCTATGCTTTCAACAAAACCGTCTCCAGAAATCACAGCCTTTCTACACCAAACCCGGGCGGAACCACTCCCTCCAGCAAAGTGCCCACTCATGTCGGTAGGCACCACTTTCGCCCGTGTTGCTCTGCCCCACGGGAAAAAACTTGGAACCTACCGCTCGCTGTGGTGGCGGCCGTAGAACGGGGAATATGGGAGGGATCGCGCCAAGATCATCCGCTCTAGACGCGAAAAGGAGACGGAATCACGGTCTCATGGTCAAAGTCTTCCAACTTGGAAGGAGAGCAAGATTGCGTTCCGTTGGGTTTGAGTGAGTTAGAATACCTCGGTCATGGGCTTGAGTTTCTTCTTCCCCTTCGCCGCAGGCATGTCTCCGTTGATGAACATCTCGATAGCCCGCTTCTCGGCGGCTAGCAGGTTCTTGCTGTGCAGCGACCGGAAGCTCTCCGCGAATCTGCTCTCATACACACACGGCACACAGGAGAGGCGAGACGGCCAGCCGAGACACAGGGGAACAGGGTTATCAGACAGAACGGGCCGGCAATCAAGAAACACCCACATAATTCGGGATGGTCGGGGTGCGAAGCTCTCGTTTGTTTCGTCGCCATCGTCGCGCACAGGTGTAACACAGGTGTAAAAAATATGAAGAAGGGTTTCAAAGTGTAGGATCAACCGCTGAGCTATAATAGCTGTGTTTCTTCTCCCATTTTCACATTTTTCGTGAAAATTTCAGCCTGTCTTTCTTGGTTCTGGGCCCATTCTGTACGTCGCGGAATGTTGTCTCCACATTTCACCATCGTTCCGACCCATGCATCTCCTACCTTTCTTCTCGTATGACTGTCATGTAATACGGCAATACTGCTGTACCCACTCAACGTTTCCCATTACACTTGCCGAGGGGCATGCAGAGAGGGCTACCACCGCCTTCCAAACCACAGGCCAGAGCAGGACACACCTACCTCACCTCGATGGCTAACACGAGAACACGAGAAAACGAGGGAATCGGCCACACAACACAGATCATGCAGCAGCCGGACGGAAACGCGTGCCCACCTGTCTTTGGCAGCGCTGTTGTCGGCCACTGCCCGGAAGACATCTCTATGCCACGAATATCGCGCGATCAGGTAGGCGTCCGTAATGTCGTAGCTAGCGTCCGCCTTCGAACCGTCGGGAGACAGTGGCCACTCGTACCTTCAACGGCAAGGGTCAGACGTGTTTGCATGGCATGTGTCGCAGTAAGAACTGGCGTGCTTTCGTTTCCTTCGGTGCTACAAGTTCGTGCCATGCACTGACCAAGCAGTGGAGGGGAGACTCTGAGCCCCAAAGTACAGCAAAGAGATGACTTGGACGATTTCCTCCTGTACGAATAAGCAAAAGAGCAAGCATCCAACCCTTGGCTCATGTAACATACAAGCCAGAAGTTTCAATCGAAGCGATGGCGATGGCTTGGGGACGATTTACCCTGAACTGTACGAGTGGTCTAAGCATGACTGATGTAAGAATCCGCAGCCAACATTTGGCATATTCGAACCGTACAAGTCAATTCGAACCGGTGGAACCCCTCAAGGGACGCGTATGATGATGATAATCGGCGATGAACAGAGAAAGAGACCTACGGGTGGTGGGCGTGTCTCTTGCAGCCTGGTAGCTCACAAACATGACGGCACATCGATCATGCATCTTTTTTCACGGACGATGGCGTTACCCCTATCCGAGATTGGACACACGAAGGCAAATAACTGTCTCTGCGACGATGACTTGCCCGGATAAAAATAAAAACTAATGTATCAGAGACAGTTCAGCCCACTCCGCCGAAGTAGATTTCCATGCGCGCTCGCAGTACTGCTGTTCCATGGACGTCAACCTGCCGCACCTGGAATGTAAGGCCCCGTTTTCCTGGCTAAGCGCGAAGTCGTGCACGATTTGCTTCATATCCTTGCCTTCGGGCTGCGAGGTTTTGAGATCGAGAGCGGGAGGAAAAAGATCAACGACGGCACACTCGCATGAGAAGAACAGGAGTCAATCGGCAGTGGAACAGCAGGACAGCACACCGTGAACAGCAGTGATCACGCGGTACCTCGATAACCAGCAAGTACCTAAATCAAACTTATGACCTCAGACGCCAACACGAGGGCCACAAAAAAGTTGAGGCTGGGGACCTGCCCAACCATAGTCCCAACGGGTTCGCAAGTATCAGGCAGGTATGTACCTATGTATTCCACGGTTCAGACACGCACCGCTACCGTCCACGTTTTCACCGCCTTCGCTCAACACACCAGGATTCTATGGCACCACACAGCATCGCACCACCACACAAATTACTCAAAAACTCTTCGACATACGGGAGTGTACCGTAAACGTTGGAGTTTTCCCTTCCGGGGAGGGGATCGTCATTTTTTTCTGAAATCAACCCCCCCGGGGGGAAATTGACGTAACGGGGGGGGGGGTTGTTTTTTTTTCCAACGCTACTTTTTTGGGTAAGTTAGCCTGTGACCACGGGAATCGACCGCGTCAAGTGCTAGACTAGTACGGACAGAAGAAGGTACTGCAGAGAGAACGGAACGGTTTTAATGTGAAGACAACGACAACAACAACAACCCCGGGGGGAAGCCCCCCCGGAGGGTTGTGTAAAATAATGATGGTACACACACACGCCACACACACAGAGAGAGTGGCCAAACTGAGATGGATAAGGTTGACGAGCAAGCGTTCAACAAGCAGAGGGAGGAGCAATGTAAGAGCAACGAAGGCGAAGAGAAAAAGACAGCAAGGAGGACAGCAGCTGAGGGAGTTTGTCTCGTCCAGCAAAGTGATTCCAAGAAGAGGAAGGGCCCGCCTTCCAGTGACAAACGGTACACTTAAATCTCGCTCGAAGGGCAGATCTGCAAATGAATTTTGTGTCTCATATCATGCTTTTTGTGCTCCGCGATGCAAAAAAATCGACTCAGAAAAAAAGAGAAATACATCACCCCCGGGGGGAACTCGTGGGAAAACTGGTACCCCGGGAGGAAATTGAAATACCCGGGGGGATCTTTTTTTTTTTGGTCGAAAACGATCTACCCCGGGGCTAAATCAAAGAAACCATGCTTTCAGGTCGAAAAGGTAATGGGGGGAGGGGAAAACTCTACTAGGGGGGGGAAACTCCGACATTTACGGTACTTGCAGCGTGCATGGTACTCTCAGAAGCCTTTACGCTATTATAATACTTATTTCTAACTTTCATTTCAAGGTTTTTGTCTTGCCTTGTTCTTGGTGAGGCTGTAGAACGACCGCGGTGTTGAAGGGTGAAAGCTGTTCGCTTTCACGCCTAGGTGCTGCAACAGCACAGGGAAAGGCATGGCAAACGGAGCGTAAAATGCGATAGCAAGGCATTCCGGGGGGGGGGGGGGTCCGCGGGGTTGGAAGCTAACGTAAATGGACCAACAATGGAGTGCAGCGCCTTGCTTGATGGCCAAAGAAACATCATCCAACACCTCCTGCAGAGACGAGCACATCTTGTCTTGAAAAATACGCGCGGCGTGAGTGCTGCAAAAGAGTCCTTGGCGGCTGGGTCGTGTACTGCTGTACTGCTATACTGCAGTACTGCTGTACTGGGCATTAAGAACCCTCCGAGCTCCTCTTCCTCTCTCCGGATGACGGCGGTAAGACGGACAATGGTGTAATGATCGGTGAGTCTCCCTTGGTTCAGTGGGGGTCTCGGTTTAGCGACATGCCATGTTAAGCGACATGCCCTGTTTAACGACCACAAAATCACGTGGCACCGCCGCACCCCGGTAGTGTCTATAACTGCTACATGATTGCTAGCTCGGTTTAACGACCTGCCCTGAATAGCGGCCACAGTTCGTCGTGACACTACACTAGGGGTCGCTAAACCGGAGCCCCCACTGCTGTATCTACTCCGTCACGACGGAGAAGTCGAACTGAAAGACGCCTGGGGGCTGTGAGCTCAAACGGCCTGTCATGCCACCGACCATACCGGGAACGTTACACATCCCACAGCTTCACGCCGAGCTACTTACTGAACCCTCGCAGAGTGTCTCGGCATAGAGGAAAGCGGGATATGTGGTGAAACTCGAAAGAGTAAAATAAAAATGAGCATGCAGAAATATATCACAGCCGGAGTTTCCAGTTCGACGCAGTATACAATTGTAGTAACACTTACATCACTGTCGGTGTTTTGATTTTTACCATCTTGTGGCGGTAACCTACAGTGTGTACCACACCGCAGAAGGCGGCTGGCTCAGGAATAGCAGAAGCGCACTGTATCTGCACGCTGCCCACCTTGTGGCAGGCGTACTTGATGATGCCGTTCAGCTGCGCTAGCGCAAAGATAGACTTTGCGTTCGACCTCCCCGGCAAGAATCTCCGCATGAAGTCTTCCACACCAACCACCCAAACCCGCCCCTTGTCATCTGCTTCAGGCTGCAGGTCGTCTCCTGCATCTGCAAAGAGAGCGACAGAGCAAAGCGCGGTGCGGGAGCGGGAAGACAGACAGGTGACATGGCAATGTCGGTCGGTGATCCGCTCGCTGGCTTGGTTTCGGCTTTGGACGACGTGGACCATGTGGTGGCTGTACGGAAGGGGCGGACGCTTCTAGCCCTGTCCCGCCATCGGACTCGATTGTTACAGAAGAAACCCAACACAAGACTTGACAAGACAAGACTTGACAAGACTTAACTTGTAGCGACCTGACCGGCACCGAGAGGTCGACCAAAGCAGTCAGTCAGTCAGTCCCCGCTAGATAAAAATTACTCATGTGCATACCACTGCCGCAAGCAACACGCTCTGCGGTGGAAAGAGTCTACACGGGCGTTGCCAGAGTTCAGTTTCGGCAACAGCTCTAAGTAGGTTCATTCCGAGTCGACAGACGCACGCTAGTTCTAGCAGTAGCCTTAGCAAGGAAGTCAAGCTTGCTTCTAGCTTGTAGTACTGTGGGGGGTACTTGTACGGGGTTGGGTTGGGGGTTAGGGATGGGGATACAAAGCCCCCCCATCTACCTCATAGATTATTGATAAAATCGTCGCGAAGACGGTCTGTTCCGTTCCAGCCCGACCGGGACGCACCTCCTGTCTTCTTGTACCCCTTTACGGCACACCCGCTGCCGACGCTCTCCTCAAGCTCCGACGTTGTTACCGACGCTGCTGGTGCCTTCCCACCCGTACTTCGAACACACCTTTCCGCCACCTGGACCAATACTTCCTCCACGATAATACCCACGTCGATCTCGTCCCCCTTCTTCCCATCGCTGCCGTTGCCAGAGATGCAGCCCCACTCCACAAGATTAGCCTCACCCATCTCTCGCAACAACCCCGGCCTATCAGCATGAGAGACGTCATCCGAAAGGCAGTGACCCCCAAGGTTGGACATCGTTGCCGTGGAAGGTCGGAGGACGGCGTAGCCTGTGCTCTGCGTGCTGATGTCGAGCCCTAGGTAGAGATTGTCCTTGCGTGAGGCTGCCGCGTCCACAAACAGCTGCGCCACCTTGCAGTCTTGCTCGAGGATGTTGACGTTCGACTCGAGCAGGCTTCAAGTAACGGTTGATTCGAGCACATGCAGATACAGCGATTTCGTGCAGCACAAGGAGAGGAGAGGAAGGTCTATAATATAACTCGCGTGATGCAGTGCAAATGTAAACACTCACCACATGCGTACACCTTGAGAGTGACGACCGTGGGGAGACTCGGCGCCGTCCGTGCTTAAATTTGTTACCGGAACGGTCGACCTCGAGACCCAACGACAACCACACACGGAGGGAGATAATTACAACTGGAGTACGATTTACTCCGCACACCCAACTCCAGAGTTATGGTTGCCCGATGCACGTGCCCCCCGTCCTTCTGGAGGAAAGATGTACTCAACCATTCAACCAATTAACCGTGGGAAACGGGGGAGGGGAGAGAGGAAAGGGAAAACGGAGGCTGCTCGTCGCGCATACATGTACGGGTGGTACAAGGCGCAAGACTGAACAACTGCCTGTGTGCAGGTTAGCTGCTATGTTTCAGTCCGGTTGCTTCCTTATCCTCCTTTCCTCCCTCGGTCGCTCCCGGCCACTCACTCCCAGGCAACACTGAACAAGAGGGGACGCAGAAACACCACTAGTTCGGAATACCGGGAGCCTAGGCAGGTGGTCTGTGTATCTCTACAAGATATACCCGTCCAGATGGTATCTTAGCCCAATGGTCCAAATACCATAACACCAGCCCACCCGGAGCAGACATGTACGCAGAGGCTAGAACCTGAAGAGGGGTAAGCAGCAATCCATCGGAACGATCAAATGTAAAATTGAGGATACGGAGCCTCACTAACCTTAACCTTTCTAACACACCTACGTAGAATTCGAGAGAGCTGCGCGCTCGGGTAGCAAAAGGGACAGGATCGAAACAAGCGCAAGCTAAGGCCAGCAAACGTGGGCTGACAGCAGGCATGAAAGCGGAGCACAAGAACCGCCATCGGGAGCCGCCTGGGAACGAGCTTAACATCATCGAACAACGGCGTGCCGTAGACAGCGTCGCCGCCGCTGCCAACACCGCGCGGGACGAAGAGGCCGCCGCCACGCAGCATGCGCGGGAAATGATGCAGCAGGAGCGGCAGCAGAAAGCTGCCAAGGCCACCGAGGAGGTCACCATGCTGCGGAAGAAGCGCTCCTCCGCAGCCGATCGCCTACTGCAGCTCCAAAAAGAGACGGCCGCTCGGATGCTGAGACTCATTGGGATTACCTGTTCTTCTCCTGCTAAGGCGGCGCTGGGCCCTTGGTGACTACAATGTATCGCGCGGGAGACGACGTGATCTTCAGCAGGTGCTTTTTGGCGGCGTTGTGGCTTTCTCTCTCTCTGCGACCGCCCTTCTCCTCTTGGTACCCATCGGCATGTTGAGGGTGTTAGTGTTGGGCGATCCCAGTTCGATTCCTTTGGTCGGTCTGCCGGGATCATGAATCTCTATTGCCCAACCCCGGCAGATCGACAGGAGGCATCAAACTGGGAACGCCACCAGCCGACTCTTTCCACTCGCTGTTATTTGCCCGATCCCGGCAGACCGACGGAATGATCTCTATCGCCACGCCCGGCAGACCGACAAAAGGAGTCGAAATGGGAATGCCAAACACCAACACCCTCAACACACCGGTGGGTACCAAGAGGAGAAGGGCGGTCGCACAGAGAGAGAGAGCCACAACGCCGCCAAAAACCACCTGCTGAAGATCACGTCGCCTCCCGCGCGATACATTGTGGTCACCAAGGGCCCAGCGCCAGCTCAGCAGGAGAAGAAAAGTCACAACAAGCCTCAGCACCCGAAGGAGCGAAGTTTTTAACATCGGTTGGCATTGGCATGGCCGAAAGAGCAGCGGCTTTGTTGGCGTTGGGCCTGATGCCGTCGGGAGCGATGGTATGCCCCAAAAATGCAGAGTGTGTCGTGCCGATGGTGGCCTTGGGCGATGAAAGCTTTGAGCTATGAGCGTGCTAGTGACTTTTTCTGTTCCCCCCCTTCGAAGCACCCGCGTTGTACTGTAAAAAAAGAGTTGCGTATTTGTATAGCTCTAAAAACGCCAACGAACGCAATCAAAAGATGGAAATTTCTAATCGGACACCGTTAAGGGCTCGTATTAACATAACCCCCCAGATTAATCTAGTTGGTTTCCTCTCAACCCTTTATGCACAGCACCAAGAGTCAGTGGTTCGAATCCCGGCGTAAGAGGTAAGAGATATTTTCTTGCGAAAAGATAGTTTTCTCTCGAGCTTGCGTTCCTGGTCATGGGAAGCGCTACAGCAATCGGTGTGTACACTTTGAGGGAGGAGAGTGCTGCACTCTTCCCCCCGTTAATAATCGAAGGCAGGCACCGCAGGAGGGGTGGAACGAGAGGGACCCTTCTGAGTGACCACGGATTGTTGCCAGCTCCTACACGGCAGAAATTATAAGTGTGTTGTGAGCGTCTATATAAAGTGATGAACAAATATATTCTCGAGTAGTGGAATAAGAACCTCAACTTCCGAAGTCCGGCGGCGGAGCACTGAGGCGGAAACTGGCAAATTGTCCAATCAGTGAACGACCTTTGGTATTTATTATTTTTATTTAGGGCCGAATAATCGTCTTAGGGTGGCCCTTGTCAGACAACTTTTCCGCCCAAAATCCAAAATCCAAAGTGCCGATGATTGGACAACGCGCCAGTTTTCCGCGCCGGAATTTGGACGTGGGGGGTTGTGTTCCGATATCTCTCGAAATGGTGAATCAAGAGCGAACACGTACAGACCCTGAAATCAAGATAAAAATGTCAACCGGAACATCAGGCTGCGTTGCCACGCCCTCAACAAATCGTGCACGCCTTCATTTTGCTGCTCGTCTAGCCACCTATGCATAAAATACAGACTGCTTGGCGATGCCAAGTAATACCTCGACAGAAAGCTGGCATCCAGTAGAACACGGTTACTTTCTTTGACGGAGATCTGCTCCAGAGAGAGAGAGAGAGAGAGAATTATCGCCGTGAAATCATTTCATTTGTCAACGCAATTCAACGGCAGGTTCTTCGCTTGTCCTACAGCAGTACGCAGCATTCACACATTACTCGCTGAGTTCGCAGCGTATCGATGCGAGACCAAGATCCCTCAACCCGCCTGATCATGGCCGTTTGGCGGGACGCTATCGTTCGCGGTCTTGGATGCCGTGTGGCTCTCTTGGCCATGGTTTGAATCATCGCGTTTCGAGCCTTGTTTTCGTCTTGGGTTGATTTTGATTTCGAATCCCCCCCGCTTGTGCGCTGTGCGCTTTTTCGTTGTAGCCAACCCGAACTCAAAAATCAATATCCAATTTTGGGCACGCATTCTTTTTACGAGGGCCTTCCTCACACGAGCAGGATGAAAATTCTTTTCCAAGACCCCCGGTTGATTGTACTGTATTTGTTTGCACGCCAAACAAAAGTACCAGAGCACCAGTATCATAGCCCCTGCAGTAACACAGCGCCTAAGAAGGTGCCCTCTGGCTAGCCCGTGTGTACCGTGTACGATGTACGCAACATAACACACCCCCTGGACCGACTTTCGAATATCGGTTTCTCAATAGCAGAAAGAGTCACAGCGCCGAAAACGGTGGCCGTCTCGTCGAGAGCTTTCTGACAACGTATGCATATTTACCGTTTCATGTATTTATACATCTCTTCGTCGTGGCGTACTGCTATAAGTCGAGCTTTGAATATAGGTCCATGAGGTGTGTTTATCGTGGGTCGTGCTCTGTGAACGAATGCATACAATTGAAGACCGGTGATAACATACACTGCACTCAGGAAAGAGTTCAGCAGATAAACATGGTACGCGAGAGTTTGTTCAGCGCTGTTGTCGAGATCTCCGGCAGACGACATCCTCTGTGTACGGTAATCTCTCCTCGTTTGGTACAGCCACCGCATGGCCGATATGCTGTTGCTTTGTGTGGATGGAACATACCTCAGTCTTCTCGGCGAGGAAGGACGTCCTTCTGGTGTCGCATCGTCACCATCGCCTTCCACCACCATCGCGTCCAGCTCGTTCTCGAACACTTCTACGTCGTCCTCTTCTACCCCTGCTGCTGCAGCTGGCTTGTCCGCCCGCCGTGGCGCCGCCTGTGTTGCCGCTGCCCACAAGCACATGCTTCGCTCTGGTTGGCGAGTTTGAAAACTGCCACTTCGAACGCCGCGCTGCAACGCACATGACGTGAGAAATCGAGGCACTCCCAATGCGAAGGCACACGGAGACGGCGAGCGGAAGACGCCCAACATAGAGACACGCACGGAACTGACCCGCACTGGAAACCTGTGGCATAAGCACTGCTGTGCTGTGCTGTGCCTGGTGCGGCGGCACTCGGCATCAGTCGACTTCAGGGGGGCTACGCTGCTGCAGAACTACTCACCCGGGTATGAGGAGTTCAAATGAATACCTATCGCGGCCCCCCTCCCGCGCCCCCGACGTGGGCTTGTGGAAGGTGGTTGTCTATCTACTGTCTCCTCACACATCAGGACACTTCTTTTCGTGCAGCATCAGGACAATCGCAAGAAGCTGTTATACCTGTGCGTGTTCAGGAGAGGTCAAACGGCATCCGGCGTTACATTTGAGACACCGGCACCACCAACAAATCTCATCTTGATTGAGTCGTTGTCCCCTCGAGGAGGACAAGAGGACCGCACTACATAGGCCTTCACCCGCACCGACAACATGGCGGTGAGAGACCCCTGCATGCGGGACCAGGCTAGGTCGCATGCATCGTTTGGGTTGCTTGCTTGCTCAAGAATCTTCCACCTAAATTTACCGCGAAACAACATCTTGATCTACTCATAGTTGAATTTTGCGGTTGTTTTTGAATTTGAAATCTCTTCCCGCCCGCCCGCTCTCTCCTCTCCTTCTGGCCCTTGTCAACAACAAATATCAGTGCATGTCCTGTAGATACTTCGTACAAGCAAGGCATGGTTGTCCTTTCTTGTCCTCCTCTCTCTACCGACGGGAGGCCGTTGGCAGTCGCCTAGACGTTTGGATCTTTGTTGTGTTAGACATGGCGTGAATACTGACTGACCCTCCAACCTCGTGCGTGTATTTGATCACTTGTTGTAGACTACTCTCATACTCTCATAGCTTTACTGGCTCTGCAACTCGGAGCTGCGATGAATGACATGCAATCTGAGCAGGCCGGAGGGGTGGTCTTGCACTCGCGAACGGTGTCAGACAATTCAGCAGTTAGACCATCACCTGGCAACCGTAAGGGTATCAAACAAGTCAGCGTACACACTACACACCTTGTACCATTGACGTAAACCATGACGTCACTTCAACGGTGCCGTGCGTTCAAGTACAAGTTGTCTACACTGCTGCGTTTGGGGGGAAGATGTTGATACAATCGCGAATTACTCCGACCATTTGCTCTCCATTCGCGATTGTGTGTGCCTGTTTCACGGTCGAACGATGCTACAACTCAATACGTACCACGGTACGGTACGACGGGTTGGCGGAACAGGAGTTCCAGACACCTCGCGTCAATGGGGCAGTGCTGAGCCAGTTCTTGGGCAACACGGTGTGCGTGGTGGGGAAGGTCTTGTCCTACCAAGAGGGAGATTCAGAGGCACAACTCGAGACATCGGTGAGAACAAAAAACTATTATACTGCTGTATCCACTGCTGTAGATACCGTAAATTACTTGGGTACAGTATGAAGCTCACCCTGTTCGTGCTTTCCTCGTTCGAGCCGGCGTTTTGTTTTTTGTTCTTTCGCCCCAGGCATGAATGGGCGCCAGTCCACTCCACTGCTGCAGACGCGTTCGGTAGTAGGTACTACAGACAGCGCCCGATTTGTAAGAACTTAGCAGTTAAGAAATTAAACTCGAAAAATTCAGAAGCTAAGAACTCGAGCACCATTTTGAACCCAGTTAAGAACGCCTACACTAAAATATACCTATATAGCGGCCATTTGTAGCCACAAGAGGAACTTAGAACCCCAGCGTAGACCGAAGCTAGAAGACGAGGGTTCTTGAGTACAGGCGCTATCTGTATATGTTTGGCGCGCCGGCCTGGGTCACACAGGGGGAATTCCCTGCGTTCATCCTGCGGTGCTTGCCTTCAGCTCTCTGATTTCAGCTGTCCCTTTCCTAGTGTGAGGCGTGTCTCTGTGCAAATCTGAGATTATTTCAGAGGTCAAGGGTCTGTCGAGACGCGATAGTCGTGGACAAATCCCAAGCACTACGATGAAAAAATGTGTCGTCTCTCGCACGCTGAAAACTGCCCTGTCTGGTAGCACTGCTGCTGTAGACGACAAGTCAGCAATCAGAAAACCAAGAGATGCGTACACGAACGAGACAAATAACTATGTCACCGTAGTGTCACGAGTGTGCAGAGTGAGCGCTGCAGAGGTTAGTCTGCGGGACCGACTCGATGTGTCAGTCATCATAGAGTTGAGAGCAAAAATATGGTTTAACTTTTTTTTTATTATTTTGGTTGTTGCGGGCAGCAAACAGAGTGAGCCCGGTAGGCGGGTGTGCGCTCTGTCTGCCATCATCTTACTCGTACGTCGGTACCTACAACGTAGATGCAATAAACTCAAAAGACTAGTCCGGAAGCGTTCCGGTAACTTAAAAATACCATTCCTGGTATACCTGTACTATTATAGTACCATTCTCCTACTACTCCGGAAACATTGCGGGAACCGTTCTTACGTTCCCGGAGTTTTCCGGGAAATTTCCTTCGTACAAAAATAACCTGCATGCTTGGAAAAAACGCGCAAAGAACCGTTATGTGGTCTGAAACATGCATGGTAGACGGTTGTGAACGCGTCTTGTGACAACCAGTACTATCATCAGTAAAATACCGATGTATACCAGAAACTTGAGTATAGTATAGAAACATTGCACTACGAAATCGCATTAGAAAGGCAGAATCAGGACAGTTGGTACTTATTTACAGTGGCCTGAACACTCAAAATTCAACACTCCCTACTCGATTGTGGGAGTGCAGTCAATCATCGAATGAACACATACGAAATTCGAATGCGTGCAGCGTAGACCAACTACTGCCTGTGGTGTGTACTGGAATTTGAAACTTGGTGCAGCGTAACCTTACTGCTGCTTACACGTGCAATTCGCGAGAAAACAATTTCGCTTTTTGTTGAGGCATAGTAGAACCTCACGCTACTGTTCGCAACAAAAATCAGTCGTGTTTCAACCAATTCCCGTTTGATCAGGGGATGATATTTACAATTCGTATGGGTCTTCAACGAAAAAAATCAAACAGTCAGCTTGCTATTTAGCTCGCTGCTGCTGCTGCTGTTGCTACGTGCCCGATGCGCATACAGCAGTCTGCAGCAGTCTGAAAATTCGAAAACAAACAAACAACTCGTCGACGAGGACTCCAAAGTAGCAGCGCTCCGGGGCCAGTCACATTCCCAACCCCACTAAGCTACTTATTTAGAGCTCCTTCTCATCAGGCTGCTCCTCCTCGTCAGACTGCTCCTCCTCATCGTCGCTGTCGACGCCGTTTCTTGCCCTCGCCTGAGAAGCGGCGTAATCAGGGTCATGGCAAAACCGATGCGTGGAGGAATAAAGATTGTTTTAAAAAATGAAATACCGAAAAAACTCATATGGTCAGTATCCTAACAAGTATGAGCCAAACTTGTCGAAGTTGATCTGTCTTTGGTTCTTGATATAGTTTGGATTTACGGACTTGTCTCGTACAAACGCGATGCGCGAGGCGATGATTTCACGGAGCCCCCCGCAAAGATCAGAGTTGAATCCTGGTTCAGCTGCGAGCGTTTCGGCTATGATCCAGCATTGAGTCAAGAAAGTCCAGACGCTGTTCTTCGTATGCTAGTGGACGTAGTGAGTCCATGAACGAGAGTACTGTTGGGAAGAGCGTCGTCACCAAAGTTCTGGTGCTGCATCAAATCGTGCGTGGCGCAAGAATCGATTTGCTTCGATTTGAGAACCAAAAACACGATACGACTAAAACACCCCCAGTTCTGCTCTCTCATTAGACTGTTACATCGCACGATCACAGACAAGCTCTCACCCTCGGAGGGCTTGGGGGGCTCCCAGTCTGAATCTATTCCAATAATCTGGAGACCTATCAGATCGAACTTGGTTCGGTTCCGCTGGCGGTTGGACCCCTTTCCTCGCCATTCGGCAAAGAGATCTACTCGTCTAGCGTTCCATCTTTCAGCAGCCTCATCCCGCAGAGCAGCGAGCGTACTATCTACCCTAGGTCGCCTGTGTTGGACTACAAGCCGCAACATTTTGTGGCGGCAGAAGGGGACGAGGAGGTGGAGGAGGAGACGCAAGACACCGCCCTGAACGATTCAGAGAGGGCGGAAATGACGAACATCATCATCTCTTCGAGTGACGAGTCGCTGTCAGTCACTGACAGCCGTCGTCAGCGACTGACAGCGACTCATAACTCGAAGAGATGATGATGTTCGTCATTTCCGCCCTCTCTGAATCGTCCAGGGCGGTGTTTTGCATCTCCTCCACCTCCTCGTCCGCTTCTGCCGCCATAAAATGTTGCGGCTTGTAGTCCAACACGGGCGACCTAGGGTAGATAGTGTGCTCGCTGCTCTGCGGGATGAGGCCGCTGAAAGATGGAACGCTAGACGAGTAGATCTCTTTGCCGAATGGCGAGGAAAGGGGTACAACCGCCAGCGGAATCGAAGCAAGTTCGATGTGATCGGTCTCCAGGTTGTTGGAATAGAACTTGTCAGAGGAGACGCTGCCGAGGCCCCTTTCAAGCTCAGAGTCTGAGTACAAGTAGAGGAGGTGGCTGAGAGTCCTCCTCGTGCGCTTGGCTTCATTGTACTTGAATTTCTCGAGTGTTGGGAGTATCCTTTGGGTGGCTCCCTGAAGCGCGTTGACAATCTCAAGAAGGCAGATCTTCATGTTGTTGCTTGTCTGGTCAGTACCCATGGTTGGTGGATGCCGTTGATCGTTCTGAAGGGTTTTGAAATGAAGTGACGATGTTAGGGCTGTCATGAATCGCTCTCAGCTTCACCTGCTGTGCGTTCATGAATCGAAATGCGTATTGATCACAACTTCACCTGATGTGAGTTCATGAATCGAATATGCGTATTTACGTGTACACTTCAACATGCTGCATAAAATTCCGCATGAAAGAACTTGGTTCTGCGCAAGAACATTTTTACACAAAATGCTCTGTCGCATATCGTCTCCCCAAAACCAAAAACATTCCCCGAACCAAAAACAATTAATTAATTAAATGAACACACCCCATATATATATATATATATCCTTTGCATACCCATGGGTGCATAAAATGTTATGTTTCTCTCGTTTCCCGGTTCAAGCCCTTTCATTCTCTTTACCCTTGTTTGATTTGTCCCGTAGTGCTTTCGTTGATTCCTCACGGCGTGTGCCGTGGGATTGAAGTATTATAAAGTAGCTCGAGAAGCCTGCTCGAGAAGCCTGATAAATATGGCTTTCGGTTGATTTTTTGTGAGACAGTCGGCATACATGGTGTCCGTAGGTGAGTACGTTAATTTCACCATGGCCCGTGAACTCTTTGTTTCACTTGAAGATGGCCCTGAAAGGTCTGGTCTTTGGGCCAGGGTTAGTGTCGGGGATAACGTTACCGACGGCAGTCCTGCCGGTGCCGTTCTATGGGCGACGAGATGATAACCTTGCTTTCCACTTTGACCTTGACCTCCTAGTACTGGTACTGTACAAGGCATAGAACAGTCTCAGTCAGTGAGTAGACTCTGACCCATTCGGAAGCTCGAGTTTTCGAAACGTAACCTTTGTTCTCCTTGACGAACGGTCTCTCGTCTCTTGACCTCGCCCCGTACCTTACCTATGTACTCTTCTGCGTAGAGAACACACCCCAACAGATGCCGCATCTCAAAGAAATTCCTCTCAATCAGTATCACATCAGCATATCTATCCCCTTTTTTTGTTGTGTATCTGGTGGCGTCCGGAGCTCTCTATCGATATCTCTCCCGTACCTACAGGGTCGTCTAGACGCGTACGGACGTACCAGTTAGTGCACATGAACGTTCAATTTCATGTCGCGGTCTAATGAGACACGATTCTGCTCTCCTTGCATACCCGCTGTCGCTGTCTGTGCCGTGCTGACTGCTGGCCACGGGACAACATGGGGGTGCTCTCCGATATTGGCATTGCTGACGTATTGCGATGGGTGCATAGGATGGGGCGAAGATTACCGTACAAATGACGGCAGGGAGTACATGGACCAGGTACGCTATCATGAGCAACTCCGTGCCTACTCAACGTCCTCCCATCGTCTTGTTCCTCGGGGATGTTGCCGCTCACATGACTACAACAGTTGCTTCTCATTTATTGTTTTCAACGATACCTGCAGCCCCTTCTCTTGAAAATCCTGCGGCTGCGTTTCGTCCGTTGTCCGTTTTCTGGCTTGATGTTTTGTTGTTGTCCCCGATCGATGCTCTCTCTCTCTTGTTGGTTGTTTTTGACCGTTGAACCGTTCGATGTCGTTACATTTTCCATTGGTCGAGAATGCGGTGCAACTGCTGCTTACTGGCACATAACATGACCACTGTACATGTCGCCACGAAGTGCTGGGTGCACCTGTACGTGGTAACGCCCTTCATGCTAACATCGCAGGGTATGGTACAACAGAAAATGTGGATGACACCACTGGATGGTTTCCGACTCTCGAGAGCACAGCGGTAGGACACAGCACACATAATTTCAGCAGTCAGTCACACAACAAGTTGTTCTCCACGACATGCCTTTTCACCAGTCTTGCGCATGTATGTATCACGCCGCTCGGTACGGAGGGAGTGGAGTTGGTTCTCTCTTTGACCGCCCTCTCTTCGAGCTGCTCGCGCCTCTGTCAGTGTAAGGGTATCAAGCATATCGTATCATGACGTACGCCGACTGCTGTCTGTTGCTGCACTCGCAACCACAAACGCTGGCAGAGTCTCACGTTGATGGATACTAGATGTAGGTATTACGGCGTGTCCGGATTGGTTCTTACTTTCAAATACACCCTTGCAACTATTACTGTCTCATCCCATGTGGTGGTGGCTTGCTCGCACATTCGCAGTCAGTACGTGGAAGTGATTGGACACCTTCACGAGCCAGACAGGTTGCAAGAGTTCAAGTCCACGGATTTCGGGGACATGTTCGGTGAGAGACGGGAGAGGCATGACCATGAGACATGGGACAGACGTCTTGTAGGCAGCCTGTCATTTTTCGTTTCCACATGGTTTTGCCGCGATACTTGGCTTGTTCAACCGTTTCTACGTAGCTGGCGTCGGACTACATGTAGGCACGCCTTTTCGTATTGCGATAAACTTCGTCAGTGTTAAATTCACAACGTGCATTTTTTCGTGCCTTTTGTGAAGCATGCGAGCAGCTCTCACGAGACCGGAGGGAGTCTGTTCCTTGGTAGCATGTGGATGCTGCAGAGCACGTCCCTTCCGCGCGTGCGTGACGTTGCTGTTGCCGTTGATGTTGGTGATACTGATGCTACACCCCCCCCCGATACCGGTCGTTGATGTCGCGGCGCCCCCGCTTGGCAGACTTGAGGAAGTACGACGAGGCGGTCTCGCTGATGACAGGGAAGTTCAGCTATTTGTTCTACAACCCACAAGAGTAGTCCGTAGTCCGTGGTCGTGTCGACGGGATGGGTTATTCGTTCCATATTTTCATATTTTCGTCGTATGCATAACCGCACTGCGTTTTCGGCCGCATGTACAAGTAGTGCGTGTGGTTGGGGTAGAAAAGGGAGCACAGGTGTCATCTCGAGAGTCGTGTTTGGGGAGTCGTTGTCGAAACCAACCAGGCTGTTCTGGGACATTTTTTTCGTCCGTACTTCATGTTTTTGCTGCCCTTGGTGGTTTCGTGGGATATTGTGGTACATAATTTTGTTCGTATTTTGTTCGTGCCTGCCGCATGCACACATGAGCGAGAGCTGTCTCGACGCCGCTGGTCCGGAGAACGGTCTTTAGAACGATGCTCTTCTTTGTCATCAAAGACTCTTGATGTGATTAACTCTTAGTTGCCGTTTGGGTAGGCCGGTTGCTTTGCATGTTTTCGACTCTGCTGGAGACTGAGCGAGTTCCTGGTTGTTACAAGTGGGCGAGGTTTGGCTATCGGGTGCATTTTTTTAGAGAATACATGCGGGTGCCGACGTAGTGCAGACACTTGCCTTCAGGTGTGGGGTTGAAATTCGTCAAGCTGTCTGCGCAACGATAAGCACTTGACACAACACACGTGCTGGTGGTTGGACGTATGCTAACTAGGTACCTCCGCTTTCGGAAGCCCCGCTTCGGCATTTTGCATCGGTACATCGGTATAGACCAATCTACCAAGAGCAGTCCAGTCAACGGCAGTGAGAGGCAGCAGTACACCGCTCACTATAGTTGGAAGTACCAATCTTTTCCGCACCGTGCCGTCTTACGATCTTGAGTAGATTGAAAAGAACCAAGAGATAACCCTGATGGACGTTAAAATACTCTCGTCCTGGCCGGGTAGTTGCAGGATGCATGACGCACCCTTTTGCCAGACGGGACTAACTCGGAATGGCGGGCGGAAGGTGCTGGACGTGCAATCCAGAGGTTGGATTTCGATTGGCGGTATTCACTTGTACCTGTCATGCACTGTTTTTCTTGCCAAGTCAGCAGCACTAGTTTAGCACCCTAGTAGGCGACACGCTTGGCCGCAGCACGCGCGAAGGACATCATCCCATCCATGTATGCACACTGGGACGGTTTGTCCACACGGATTTCGATTGAACTCAGGCGTGCGTGCACAGTAGTACAGTACACGTACACGGCAGCGCACAGAGGGGCGTACCGTCGTGCGACACCAGTGCAGTGCAGTGTGCAAGAAAAAACGTGTACGCGATGTACGCTAGTCGTTATCAAGCTTGAGCTAGGAGCCACAAATCCGCAACACGTTGTCATCAAGACCAATACTATTTGTCAAGATTCGTGTCAAACATCTCAAGACACAACAGTACTCAGCAAATAACACCCAAGGAATGAATGTGTCCATTAAAGACGGGTGTTTGATTCGTGCCGGCAGGAGACCAACTGCCCTCTAAACTACTTGCTGGGCTGCTTACTTGCGTCATGTACCAGAAACCAGCGATCGGGCGGTGTTGCAATTTCGATTTCCCGCGCCGTCTTGGCTTCCCCCCGTGCCACATGCCGTACTTATTCCTTCCCTCCCACACCACCTACAACACGAAACGGTGACCCTGGCTACTGTACCGGACATGATCACAGTCCAGCACGTAACACTATTTGCAAGGGTGGGTACAAGAACAGTTGCATACTGAGGATGACGGGAACAAGGAAAACATGGACGTCGGGAATTAACGAGGGGAGAGAGAGGCCTCCCGAACCACTACCCATTCTGCTGATATACTAAATATCCGAATTATTGTGGCACGTGATGAAGCCACGGTGCAACAAACTACAAGAATTACTTCTATTCATTCTTCAGTCTTCAGTCGTTACCATTTCCCTCCATGTATTGAATGCCGCGAATTCTAAGGGTGTCGAGGTAGGCGAAAAGTAAACACAGTCAGTCTCGAACGACCAACCCGGCCACACCCTTTTGCAAGAAATGCCCCAAGTAACGTGGATGGTGTGGGATGAGTACAAACACATGTGCTTACATAGCCACGAAGTTAGAAATCAAACTAGGGGCCCCACAACCAGTACATAGTACATATCCCCAGACGATACTGCAACAGTCTACATGCTGCATCGAACCACTCGCAGGCACACAACGGGTTTGTCCTCCTCCCCTCCATCGTCCCGCCAATCCAGCCCCACCACCTGTGTCCACGGGAAATCTCGAGGCCAATCTCAACCTTTACTGCCACCGCTGCTGTTGTTCTATACCGCGTTGCCTTCAGCCGCACTGGTTTTCCTTTTGACAACCACTGAAAACTCACTTCTACGACTCAACCTTGGCGGGAAAAATGTTGAAGGTGCTTGTTGGTCTTAAATGGCGAGAGGGAGGTCGAGGTCGAGGTCGAAGTCGAGGTCGAAGGCCGGTTTCGGTTACTTCCGGCAAATCAGGGAAACCGGTCTTCTTGCTGAGCAGCAGCTGAGCGTCGCGACTTCTCACAACGCCGCTGATCAGCCCCTTTTTTGTGCACGATGGGAGACAAGCAAGCGCCGAACGTCGGAGGGTGACCCACCGATTCAACTCGTGACTCACCGATTCAATTCGTTTCATTTGTTCGACATCATTCCGAGCAAACAATATTGGAACTGCTTGCAGCTGAAATTTCACCATTTGCGGTCCCGTGTACCATAAATATTCCGTACCTGGTACATACACAAACCTTGTGGGTCGCCCATCATTGGCTTAACTGAACGGTCGAATTTTGCTTGCTTGGGCAAACGGTCAGTGAAAAAAATTATGGCCGTGACACAGCTGTTCAGCGAGCGCCTGTGCGTGACAACACTAAAAAAGCCCATTGCCCAAGTTCTCTCTTAACGATAAAAATGAAGGCTTTCACCACAGAAGGGGCAAAGGGGCGCCGCAGAATGGGATCATTGGGGTGTGACCAAGGTCATACCTATCGACGTAAGAGTACACCAAGGCATCAAAGCACTAACAATGTGACTACATCGGACCTACGACTGCCTCAACACCAACAGCGCATCAAGTGCAAGGCACCGAGACCCCTCCCGACACTCAGCTCTTGCTCACGTCCATGATAAGGCCAGCGAGTATGAACGTAACCTCGTCCCATCGGGCAAGCTCTCGCTCCTCGGCGCTCTGTTGGGGATCAAAGCTATCGTTGTCGATGTCGAACTCGTGCCCCCTTAGAACAAGTCCGAGAACGATCACCCTGAAGGGAAGGACGTTGGCATCTGTTGCCGTAGCGCTGGATGGAGGACGTGAGACATGGGACACGGGGAACACGGTACGGTGGGGGTCCCCGTTTAGTGCCAGTTGAATCGTGCCAATGCTCGGTATAGTACCGGTGTTTTCGGCGGGAACACACCGAATTTCCAAGTCATTGTCAGTACCGTGAATAGTGCCGGTCCGGTATAGTGCCGCTGAATTTTCTGGGCACATAACGGCACTAAACAGGACCCCCCCCTGTACGTGGAGGGGTTGTACTGCTGTATGGTTGGACGAGATGAAGCGGGCTTGCCAGGACTAGGCGTCTGGGCCACACACACACGACACGTTCCTACGTGGCCGGTACGTTAGGTAAATCATGGCCTGTTTCCTTCTGTCTCTGTCAAGAGAGGAAAAGAGAGAGACCGGGAGGGAGAGCTAGAGACAGAGAGAGAGGAGACAGAGAAGCAATGACTAAATATAGAGCACCTGCTGCACCCACACAAACACAAACAACAACAACAACCAACAACCAACCAAGACCACGAAACATGGAATCTATGATAGCGCCAAAGCAAAAAAAAAATACCCTTACAAATGCCTGCGCACTTGCTTGCACGTCAGAGGAACTGATCAACATGATATTGCTGTCTCTCCGTTCGAAGATACGTTAAAGCGAACCACGAACCACACATCGAAACAAATGGGCGTCGAACTGTTGTGTGCCGCTCAAACCAAACGGACAACGCCCGGCGCGCCTTTGCCTCTCTAGTTTAAAGGGTCGGGGCTACTGACTGTGACACTCAGCCGGAACGTTACAAATCTGCCCTACCATTCAGAGAGGACATCTACTTTTAGCAGGTAGAAGGCCTTCGCGTCAAAGAGGTGCTACAATATCATGGAGACACGTGGTACGCTCACACTCACATTTGTTTGAGGACCTGCCTGTACATCATAAGACGACACCCCTCCAGATGCGGCAGAAGGTCTGACAATATGAGAGCGCGCTCGTGCTGCTTCATGAGCAGAGAGAACCGCTTGAGGTTTCCCTGACTGGTGGTGTAGTGGTGTACAACAGTTTAGTTTTGGGTGCAGTCGGCGCAACACAGGGTCGGAGGAGAGTCGCAGAGAACGCACCCGGCGTGGGGGGGATTAACTCTCTCCTGTATTATGAGGAACGGATCTTGGAATGTTCCAAGCAATTTCCAGGGCCGTGCACAAAGACAACAGTTACCAGAGAAAGCATTTTCACCATCGCTTCTTGTTTCTTGCCACCGAGTGCCGACACGGCAAACAGGAGGCAAGAGGGAGAAATGTTACAGTACCGCCCACCCTCCCCACAAAAGTTTACCTGGTAATTACAGTATTATAGTACTTAAATAACGTCGACAAAGGCAGAGTCGGTGAGTGTTGTCAAACAACGCACTCGACTCCTTCATCGACGCCTACTCTTCAAGATGGGTGTCATCACCAGTCCAGCGGGAGGCGAGGACGCTGTCTCATCCCACACTGCGTGGTATGGGAAGAAAAAACGGTCACGAAGAGAAGATACTGATGTACACTATCCCCGTGATTCACCGTATGGCAGTGGAGAAGTCATCGAATATGAGCAAGTCGTACTTCTCCAGCAGGCGTCGCTCCGGCAAACATCCTGCCAACACCAGGGCGCAGGACGAATCATACGTGCAAAATATTGCTTGGAAAAAACAACAATCACCAATCTAGCACGCAAGCAATGGACGATGGAGCTGGCACGAGATGCAGATCTGGAGGTAAGACAGTCGCAGATTTGCAGATGTACAGTCTCTACTGTAGGCGCTGCTGCTGCTGCTGCTGCTGCTGCTGCTGCTGCTGGTGACACACGGAGCACGTGGCGTCGGGCTTTTGTCGTTGATGCCTCCCGAGGTCCGCGAAGAGCCGGCACAGACACGGTCTTGTCTACCGATGCAGCCTATAGCAAACATGTGCAAAACATGCGCCAGTGGTGCGCACTAGCGAAGCTCTTATGGCATGGATCGTTGCGGGTGCGTGTGATCGATCAAAAGAGCACGTCGCGACTGCTGTGCAGTTGGCAGAATGTGCGTACCATGTCAATTAACAACAATGAATGACACATCAACACTACAGTAGCAGTACAGTACTGTCCGCATGTAAATACTGTAGGCTACTCAGAAGGCAAGGGTTCTCTTCAGCGGGGTAAAGAGGGGGGCAGGCGTGCGTCCAGCAGCAGTGCTTTGCGACGAAACATGCCCAAGTACACAACACAGCGCAGAGGGTTGCTTTGATCACTGCATGTACCTACCTGTTGAGCATCCGAAACGCCTAGCCTAGCGACGACACACTACAGTAGGTCATGTCGAAAGAGCCGTTGAAAGAGCATTCTACCCGTTGGATGCGAGATGCAAACAATACAACAACAATTGAACGAACGGCCCGATAAACCTTCAGAGGCCGGCATGCCCTCTGGCGCAGTGCAGCCTCACATGCGAAAGTGTCACGTGACGTCATATTTTGCTCCGGTACCAACAGCGACCGCAACTAGACACCGGTGTGCTTCTACAAGCTTGAGCTTGAGCTTACCCATCCTCATTCTCAGGGGCACGAGATTCACCAGAATTCGTCTTCGGTTTCCCGTAGCCGCGACATGGCACTCTTTGAGAGCCCTGGTCAGCGTTGTCTCGGCCTTAGCCCTCTGCGAGGGGTGAATAGACGATAAAGGCACGGGCCCGCGAGTTGCAGGGATGAACAATCACTCATACATACATTGTAGCGGTGACCTGAGAGATCCTGTGGCGTGCGTTGTGCAGCACACCCTTATCCTGCAGGCGAAGGTGGTGGTGGTTTGTCATGCTTTGTACTGGTACACTGGATACCGCCAGAGAGCGGCGTCGCTGTCTTTCAATGCGGGGTGGGTGGTGCATACATAGCGCTCCGCGCTTGACAATGAGCTGATTTTGCATCACCCCCGCGCCTCCTCCTCTGCCGCCTAAACGAGCGGCCGTCCTTGCCAAGAGGTGTTGTATGTGTTCATCAAGGATGGAACTCGGCTTTGCATACTAGCCATCGCATCAGTTCCAGCACCATGTTTTCCCTTGCACCCCCCCGCTCCTTTAGACTCTCGCACCTCAATGAAGGAGAAGCACGCCTACCACACTATTAATAGCCACATACGTAGTACGTATCGCTTGCACGAACGAGAACGAACGCCTAATGATGAACACCACCAACAAACCAAGCAAGATGCTCGCACGTGCTAATATGACGATGGATCCAAAGCAAACATCACCTCGTTCCGACTTCAGATTTGGTGCTCTGCAATTTTGTCCTTCGATCGTGCTTCCGGGGCGTATGCATATATAGGCATGGGCATAGGCAAGGGCTCTCCCTTACTGCGCCCATTTTTTTTTTTTTACTGCAGAAGAAGCGTCAACCATGGCCATATTTCCGCCTCCCCTCAGCGCCTTTACGACAACGTTTTGTTTTGCTCCTTTTCGCCTTTGCCAGCGCTGCCGGTCTGTCCTTGCTAGACGTTACGAAAGCGGAAGCTTCTCGTACAAAAAATCGCCGTCAACCTCGTCTGTCTATGCCCAAGCATGAATTCTCTCCACCGGCGACACAGCACAACACAACTGCTACTGGTGTATCGCGTAACGGTCTACCAAACCAATCGGTACAGTCGTGAAGATGAAGATTAGATGCACGCCGTAGTACAGTACACACCTCGTGTTTGTCGTTGGCAGCGTTGTGCATGAAAGTCTTGCCTTCGTAGTAAAGAAAAGCCACCACGTCTGCGCGGACAGCCAAGCTTTCCGCATCGCCTGTCCCCCCACGTACATTCCTGGTATGTAGGTAGGCAGTATTGGAGGAGGCAACGGCGGAGACGGAGGGACAGGAACAGACAGCGTCGACAGACAACGCTAGCATGAGGGATCGGAAAGCCGACAGTTGCCTACGGGAAGTGGTGAGGCCAGCAACGGCAGAAGGGCAAGCCTCACAGCAGCGCACAAGTCGTATGTGTAGGTACGGCGGGCATGGGTTCGAGCACACAACGCATAAGGTATGCGGACAGATAGGTAAAGAGCGAGAGAGAGAGAGAGAGAGAGAGAGAGAGAGAGAGAGAGAGAGAGAGAGACACACGCACAGACAGACAGACAGAGCAGCGGAGTGTCATCAGCCCATAACTCCAGTATAAATTACCGGTACATATTATTGGAAGTCTTTACGCCCAACACTTTGCTGGTTTCGCTTGCTTCTCTCACGGACGCACTTACTTGGACAAATCTTGGCACATTCTGAGGCGGTTGAGCTTGAAGCAGTGCTTGAACAGCACGACCGCCATGTGCATCGCCATTAGCTTCTTTGACTCTGGCGTACCACGTTCACGATTGGTGCGGCGCGAAATGGTGGTTTGCTAATGCGATATAACTTGGAATTACTAATTATGTAGGGGGGTAGGGTGTGCATACGAAGACCGACCACTTTCTCTCTTTCGTTCCCCAAGCTAACACTCAGCAAACCGCCGGCACCAAACGTACGCGGCGGTTCGCTACTACACAACGTGCGCCACACGCCACAACCACCGCGTGGTCGTAAATTAAAGCGGCTGAACAAAGTATCAATGCACACGTCACCGTGCCAAATGCTGCCGAACAATGCATCAATGCACACGTCACCATTGCCGTCAGACGCACCCTGTGCTGTCGACTTCTCCTCTCACCTACTGGGTCAGTCGATCTGTCTCGAAGGCACGCGCTGAAAGCCTGGAGCGAGCCACAGGCACGCACGGGGGTGGGTACGAAGAGGACGGGTGACCGCCAGCTTGACGTCGCATGCGCGTGTGAAGCACGGGTAACCCTAACCCCCAACGAATAGTATCCCCGACCAATCAACATCACGGAGCCCCCGAACACAAATAATACGTTGTTTCTAGAAAGTAAACATAATCTCACAGAAAGATTACTACCCGTTGGAGATGCGACCCCAGTCGAAAGGGATGTGCTCAAGTCTTAGTGAGTGGAGGGACACCGGCTGGAAACTGGGCTTATCTTTGTTTTAAGTCTATGTATGATACACTGAATTGTATCAGTGGTGCCAGCTGGTGCTAAGAACAAAAGCACCTGTACAGGTAGAGACATTTTATAATACATCCCGTGTAGTTCTCTACTGGGTCAGCGATGATGATTTGCAGCCAGTGGTTCCCAAGCGAGGCGCGCGGTGGGCTAGAGTGCTGACTGACGTTGGGAGGGTTGAAATAAGCGGAGAAACACTAAAAAAAACTATTGCGCCGAGTAAAATGAGTGAAATGCCGAGTAAACGCGAACGTGCTCCCCGCGGAAACGGCGACCACCCATCGACCGCTTTTCCCTCAAACCTAACGTACAATATCGCCTGAAAAGTGCCTTCGGGACAACGAACAACACTAACAATAACAACACGAACACTAACATGGACATTCACCGGAACCAACTCTGTCATGAAACCGTCGCCTGCATCGAAACGCTGGCGACAACCGTGCAATCTCCGCACAGCATGTCGTGCGGTACTACTGTGAACGTTTAACTTGTCGCGGTCGAACGCCCACTCACGAACAGAAAAACTACACCCGAAAAAATGGAAGAAAGCCGAGTTTGCAGAGGACAATTGTTTAGTTTACAGGTGCTGCACCGACTGGAGCCGCATGGACTAGACACATTTGAGACGAGCCTCTTAAGTCCGCCTTGTCAATTGTTTTTGTGGGTTTGCCAATCAAATCAAGCCGTGCTTTCATTGGGTCGTAGGAAGGCAGTCAGATTATATGTGTCCCCACCAGCTCAATAAAACAATGACAATAACCTTGTAAAAATCAGTTCCTTTTTCGCGGTGCTTGCGGTACATACTGTAGGCTTGCCGAGCATCACGGGATAGCGGTGGACGGGTACGACAAAATTCACCCCAAAGATGCACTCTGCTAGTTGGAGTGAATGAACTAACTCGCGTTAGAGACAATGTCTTACAGCACGCACTCAACACTCAGGCAGGTACCTATGCAAACACTCCTCCCACCCTACCTTATACCGCCAGTGTTTCTCTCTCTCTCTGTTTGTCGCTCTCCCCCCCCCCCCCCCCCCGCTCTCTCTCTCTCTGTTTGCCTTTGCTCTCTCTCTCTATCGCTCTCTCTCTCTCCCCCCCCAGTCTCTCTTTCTGTGTGTCTCTCTGCTTGCTTGTTTCATGAGTTCCGCCGCAAACTCGTCGGAACATCGTTTTCTTCTTGAAAAGGGCACGGCACTCACTGTGTGGAGGAGGCCGACAACGTCTGCCTGAGCGTCCTCGTCGTCCAGGTCCGTCTTCTTTCCGCCAAGTTATTGTCGACGTTAACGTTAACGTTAACCCCCCGCCCCATTGCACGCGCACATGGGACATAGCAACACATCGGGCATGTCGACGACAATCGCGAGTTGGCAAGCAGCGTTGTGTGATCGTGCTGTGGTCGACAATGGCCTGCAATCGCCAATACCATAGTATATCTTGCTGTGCAAGTAGCCCAAGTGAAGCCGCTACATGTAACCAACTTTGTGCCGCTACTGCTGGGCTGTACAGTGGGGGTTCCCGAATAGGGCGGTCTGCGTAAGGCGGTCTGAACAAGACGGCCGCCCTATTTAAGGCTGTTGAAAAATCGGCTCACACAAAACATATTATCCAACTCTCTTCTCATGGGTATGATGCTATCTATGATCAGCTCCCACCTCCCCCTTATTCAGGGACCCCCAATGCCAATGCTGTGTACCTCATTGGCGAGAAGCCTAACCCCGCGGCTCATTGTCGCCAACGTCGGTAGAAGCCAGCCCGACTGCCCTCCGCGAAACCCCAGGAGCGAGTTGTCTTCGACAAACACACTTTTATTGATTGTTTGCGTGTTCGTCCGTGTTGAAACGGGTGGCAAGCAGACGGCCACACAAGTAGGACAAAGCGGACAGACAGCCACGCCCGGCGCAACACAACGCTATGACACATGAGGGAGCCAGCCATCAGGAGGGGTTAAGTTTATGCACGAAATGGGGAGCAACAGTTAGGCAGTGACTACAATGGTCAATAAAAATCCCTTGCAAGACAGGACCACCACAAAGAGCTACATGTAGCACGTGCTTGCTCTCATCCACAAACGTTTGGATGGAAATGGCAGAATGAATGCCCACGATACCAATCGCACGCAGGCACGATACATGCTGAACCGTCCACGACAGAGTTCATCTCCACTTCACTAACTCCAGAGTGTTGGCACAACCAACTTCCCTAATTCAAGTACAAATATAACCATCTTCCCTACTTCCAAGTACTAACATAACCATCTTCACTACACTTCCAAGTACGTAGTACTAAAGTGCATGTAGCACACAACCCTACGAGGCCAACAGTCCTTTGTCACCGGTGCTGGTGCTGCATACTTGAACAAGCGCGTTCGGCGCGTCGCTCTCGACGGCAGCGTCAGTCAGAGCAAGCACACGGTTCCCGCTGCTACGTGCTACTACTTCTACTTTATATTCTATTGCCGCGCGGTCGCGCTCCGAAACTGCGATAAGGAGAAAAAAAGGCGAAAGAGACGAGGCTGTCGTTGTTTGGGCGTACCGGGGACCGTTTTCTGCGGCGCCACCTCTCGAAGGGCCGCATGCCGTGTCAGCATCACTCTCTAAACACATATTTAGTTGCGTTTAATCGATAAAGGGCTCGAGTCAACCTTCTCTCTTTCTCTTCATTTGGCGAAGCTGTGCTAAATTTACGCCGAAACCGTCGTGATCGGTGCGATGCGATGCGATGATGACATCTTCTCTTGCGCTCTCACCGAAAGGCTCCTCGATAGTGCTTGAAGGCCTCTTTCGCGTCGTCATTCTTGACCGCCTGGAGGTATAGCAGCATCTCCCTGCACAACGAAACTGCCACCGGCGGGAGCGAGTCCCGCCCACCCCCTGAGCATGCCGCCTCCACATCATCCTGGCCAACACCAACGATAACGCCACCGCCAATGATGACAGCAAGCACAAAACCGATCAGCATCAACACAGTCAAAAACGTTTCGTACTTCCATCACCATCAATGTCAACATCATCACGACCCCGTCATTGAGAAGTAGCAGAAGTCAGCCAAGCAGAAAAGGGGCAGCCTGGCCGACGCCGGCGCGAGAAACAGAAACAGAAAGGGAGGGATCTCAGGGGGGGGGATAAGACGCGAGAGAGACTCTGAGGGAGACAGGGATGTCCAAGAACCCCCAACCAACCGGAGGAGCCTTCCCTTGATCGTTATTAATACTTCACCCTTTCTTCCTTGTCGTGACACTTCAAGAGAAGACCGGTCACCAGTTTTGACATCGTCGTCAACGCGAAATCCACGTGACCCCTCCCACCCTTCGTGCCACAAGCATTCTGAGACAATACAGCATGCAGTACATACATGCTGTCTCACGGCGGAACGAAGAGGTTAACAGCAGGACCAGGGCAGGCGACCGCAAATTGAGGCAGCATGCCTTGAACTAATGGCTCCGGCATAGCATTCTGCTGTCAGCAGTACGTAACAAAATGAGAACACGGGAGTGACTACAGCGTGAGGTGCTATCGGCCATATTGCGTGTGTACGCGCGTTCCGACGGGTCTCTTGGTGATCGAAACGTTTCGGTGAGATCTTCAGCGACCCGCATCCCCATCACGCTCGCTGACTCTATTTGCCAGCATCGTTGCTCGTTCTCTTACTGCAACTATGTACCATATGCACTATGCACAAACGATGGTTGTTACTTCTCACTCACATCGGACAATCTGCTTTCCAGCAGCCGCTGCTCCCCTGCGATGGCTGGAGAAATGCTGAGGCATTCTTCCAGCAGCTCCCCGTCCTCTCTACTCAAGGCGATGGCAACCTGCTTCACATACCCTGCTTTGTGGATGGATATGCACGATAACGGAGTTGAGGTGGCATTGTGGCATTTCAGTTGACGAGAGGGTGACAAGAAGCGGTGAAACGCAACGTTTGACGTTACGATGTTACAGCAGTTGTTGTTGTTGTTGTTGTTGTCTTCACATTAAAAACCGTTCCGATCTCTCTCTACCCAGTACCTTCGTATGTCCGTACTGATCCAACACTCGACGCGGTCGATTCCCGTGGTCGCAGGTTAACTTACCCTAAAAAGGTACACTCAAATAAACTGGCCCCGAGGGGTCCGCAAGTCAACATAAATCAACGACAGATATTCTGGAATCCTCCACTCCCTCTGCGCGCTATGCGAGGTATCAACTGAGACTAGCAGTCACTGTCTATCATGGGCCGGAGAGAAAGAGGTGCACCCCCTTGGTTCAATCTTGGTAGTCCACTCCAAAAGCGGCAACCTTTGGCAATCAAACAGCAGTTGCAGCTGTAGGCCATTCATGTACGTACCTCCACAGACTGTAGTACGGCTGTACTGCTGTTGATTGAGCTAGAAGTAACCGGGACAGAACTACCACCGTTTTGCATGTATACAATGATGATGTAACAGCAAGAGGTCCCATTTTCCGAATGCTAATGCTGTTGCTGCTGGCTATACAACGCAACCACGTGGGTTGGTTCCAAGGGTTTGCCGGTAGGCACATGTCACTTATATACCACCATGGCTGACAGAAAAGCGCTGCTACAGGCCTCCTGCTACTGTACAGCTGTAGGTGTCGCTGTCATACTAGCAGGCGAGGTGCGATACTGCCCCGGGTGACTGCCGTAGACTATTTATTGTAGTCTCCCCCCCACAACTTTTCGGCAAATCAGCCACGGACAGAACTTTCACGACTCACGACGCACCCACTCTACAGTACCCCTCATGACCGCACGTTACCTTGAAGGGCCATAGGTTCTTGTGGTTGTGCGTGGTCTCTTTGGTCTATCATCGTGCGTAGGTCCGTCGCGTCTCTCTCCGCCCTGCTCACTGCTCTCTGCTGCCTCGGCGCCTCGGCCTTGTACGGCTGATTCCGCGTTGCCCCTTGCTTCGAGAGATTGCGAGACAGAGTCGGGGGGGCACGGATGTATGATTATTTTTCCTTACGTGTTTTCTGTTTTCACCGGGCAGGCAGAGAGCCAACTTGCCTACTACCATACGCCGCAAACTGCACTGATTCGGTGGCGTTATAAATGCATTACCGACCAGAAGGTGTGAGTGCGAAGAGGTGAGGAATCGCTTTTGTCTCTCTCGCCCATGACACACTCTTTGGCTTGCGCATGATGTAGATGCAGAAGTCGCCTCGTCGACCGTACGATTTTTCCGCGGCCGGCGGGAAAGTTGCGGATGCGGTGGAACCCGTAAAAACATGTGCTTAATCCACGCGCACGTTTTACAATTTATGTCTCATCATAACTCAAACGTCATGTACCCCTGGGTCTGCAACTTCCCCTCCGGTTTGTGATTGAGTCTTACTCTACCTCACTCGATACCCATCGACACCAAGCCGCCCTCGCGCGTACTTTTCTCCGTTGTCCGCGTCGTCTGCCGAAGACGGATAAGAGAAGAGAGAGAGAGAGAGAGAGAGAGAGAGAGAGAGAGAGACAGGGACGGACGTGCGGAAACACTTTCCCACTCACGCGAGTTCTCCCACACCCTCTCCTCTCTTGCTGGCAGGGCAGGGCCATAGGCAGGAAGGCTTCGGCCCATCCCACCAACGAAATGGAGCTCTCCCGTAAGAGCGCGGGCCTCGCCCTCTTCTTCCTCGGGCTTGCCGCTAGGCAAGGCTCGGCTGTCACCACCTGCCTCGAACTCCTCATCGCTGTTGAGAACATGACCGTCACAGGGACGGTAGAGCTCGAATCCGGCTTTACGTGCGACGCACACATCACGGTCGATGCTAGCCAGGATGTCACCATCAGCGGCGCCTACACGATCACTCTGGGCGCACTCTTCGCCGGCAGCACGGCCACGGACGCGGGGGGCAGCCTGTTCGTGAATGAGGGCACGCTGGAGCTCGACGGCATCACGTTCGCCACGGAAGCAACGGATGGGAACCGCGCTGTCTGGAACGGCGGAACGCTCTCGGTGGTAGGCTGCACCTTCGAACTCTTCCCGAGCGGAGGAGGAGAGTTTCTGGCCAGGGGCGGCGTGGTGAGTGACACAACACCACATGCCAGGACAGTAGCAGGCGATGATGTCCCCGACCAGTCTTCCCCGTGGCGTCCTCTCTTGCAAGAAAAGAAAGACAGATAGAAATGGGGGCGGGCAACTATTTGTGGGGATCAAACAAATAAGTCTACCCAAATAAATGCGTATTCCTTATAAACAATACCCCGTGGCCCTACCCACGGAGATCAGCATTGACGTCTACTTACTGCAGTAGTCTACACCAAGGGCGGGAGGGGAGTAGCCGGCGCGTCCGCGCTCCGCCGAAAGGAATTGCAGAGTTACGGGGCTTGCGCTGTTGTTGTTTTTTTGGGGGGGTAAAGCCGCCGACGAAACAATATATGTGGTATTTGCCTGCCGCCGCCAACAAAAAACCAATGTGTGCTGTTCGGGAAATGGTGGAAAAACAGAACATTCGCTGACGCTATGTATTCATTGCTACTCTATCTTCGACTCTTTTCTTCGATAAAGATGGATTCGTTGGGTCATACTGACAAAATAAAAAAACCAAACTCGCATAATCTGCGGGCCCCGCAAAAACCCATCCACGAACCCCACGCCTACCAGATACATACCACTCAGTCAGGCAGACCACCCTGCTTTGGTCTGCTGGCCTCCACCCGCTTTGGCTCCATCCATTCCATGGGTCGATTTTGTTGGACCAGCGTATATATACGCCAACGTTTGGTGACTTGCTTGCGGTCACCAGTTCAACAATGGGAGTGGGAGGCCTTCGGATCCTCCCTTCTCTCTCCCCTCCGGCGGCACTCTGTCTTCTGAGACCTTCTCCTTGCCAAATCCCAAGAAAGAGGACAGCCAGCCCCCGGTAGTGGGTAAATACCACTCCGATCTGGGTCTCCTACCACTCCCTAACTCCGCACAATTTTCATCCCGAGGTACGTTGAACAGCAGCTTGTGCATTCCATGTATTCTTTGCGTCTAAATATCTTATCAGCTGATATAGGTTATTAGCGTTTCGTGTTGACGTTGCAGACACTCACCCACCACAGTAATGTTACAATAGTCACAAGAGTAGCGGCACGGCAAGGGCTCTACAGTGCATGCAGGGGGAAGCTTGGCGAGCCTGCGGAGCAGCCAAACGCGCCCGAGTCACGAACGAGACCAAGTCTTCAAGGAGAGAGGATTTCCACATGTGGCCGGGAGGTCTTAAAAAATTCTGCATGGCGCGGACTCGATTCTCCTCTGCAGCCTTTTCCGTCCTTTCTTGTTTTGCTGTTCTTTTCTTGTCTTATAGTGGGCGGTAAACTTACCGAGGGCTCCCCTGGCAAATTTCTTACTTCAATGTGTGTGCCGATGCGCATAGAAAATGGTTTTGTTTTTCTTTGGCGGGCCGAGAAGGAAGGAGGAAACGTTCCACTGGTCTTCGTATTGGATGAGTACATGGTACACTCCGAGACACATGCACGCTTTTTATCGTCGCAGAATTGATGAAATACGTGTTGCATATGCGTTGGCTTGTTGGTGAAAAGCTGCTCCTGTTCATACTTCAATAGTATTGTGGAGGTCCAGTATCTAGCACTACAGTACTACTGTGTGATATATCCCAAATAAGGAACGCCCGTTCTGGTGCTTGTCTGCCTGCATGCATACTTTACGTCGTTTTCTCTGAACGTTCATGGTTGTGTTCTTGCACCTACCTCCGGGTGGAACATGAGATGCTTCAGGTGCTCACGCAGGCGAGGTTAGTAGGCCTCCCTGTGGTACGGGTGAATAGCTTGACGTTCTAGTGTATAGAGGTAAAGCAGCTGTAGAGGCTAAAACATCAAAATCTGCCGAAATCGAGCGGTACAAGGGCTTCAGCGCGTCTGAGGGGCGGGCGAAGTATTTCGTCAGCCGCCACTCCCTCAAGCCTATCAACAAGTACGGCCAGACGGGTAGTGTCGACGACGCAGCCATTGCGGGTGGCCCCCACAGCGCGTCCACGACAAGATTGCCCAGTAAGAACCGGAGTGCATCATCACCTGCTACGAGACTGCGCTGCAGTTTAGGATGCTGCTCATCTTGACGTACACCGCGCCGGCCGAAAAGAGGAAGACCGTGTACTGAGGAGTAGAAGGCATGGCGAGCGCGTGATGCTGTTTATGGCGACGGATGCCAGCGGGCGAAAAGTACCGCTATCAATGATCGGCCACGCGAAGATGCCCGGTGCTTTGGCTCAGGAAACTCGCCCCCCCCCTCAAATAAGGCGATTCGGTACGGCGGGGACCTGCCCTGAGAAAAACCTTGGTACACACAAGAAGTCCCAGAAGCCTGGCCCTCCAAAGGAGATCACTTGAATACTCCGCACGCGCTGCATAGCTCACGTTGAAATGACTTCCGTTTTTTGTACCAGACTCATAGTTAGACTGCCATAAGTAAGGCGGAGTACATTTTGATACTGTTGGATGATAAGAAGCACCTCTTTTACGCAACGCTCTCCACCATATGCTTCGGGGCACAACATGTAATGTTATAGAGTCCACCGGTTGTTTCCTTCGTGGTATGATAGAGTCTACTGCATCTCTTGGGGGTACAGATGGTGGACTTGGGGGATGATTATCCCTCCGTTAGACGTCCATGAAGTAGCACAAACGCCACCTGACCCATCTGTGCAAGACCTACCAACTATGAACCCACACAGAGTTTTAGTCTCAAAACGTCACGTTGCCGCCGGGGTCTTTTTCGCGATTTCCGGTACCCGCTATTGGGCACAACTGAATATCGGTCGGACGTGTTGTAACTGCTGCGAGCGACGAGAAAACCACGTAGTGGCTGTTGTCGTGGTTATCCCGCCACTGAGTTTGGTGGTAGCAGCTGTGTATATTTTTCTAGGTGAAGCCTCAAGGTTTTGGACACAGACTTTGCCGTCTCTTAGACACAGATTCTGCCTTTTCTCAGACAACAATTCTACCGTTTCTTAGACACAGATTCTGCCGTTTCCTCCCCACCACTTCCACCTACCAGGTACGATTCTGGATGATCGTGCCCACGACCTCGCTGTCCAACGCCACTGGATCCTACAGGAAGTCGTCGTCGCACGGCCGCTTCGATCACATACGATAGTAAATACTCAAGCTGGAGGAAGGCCATACCCAACTCTAATCCCTCGGGCCCATTACAGAACTGCAGTCTTCTCTTGTCTTTTCGGAGAGAGTCCAGGGACATTGGGGCATATCGAACACGCGAGATCGAGCACTCATCCCTACGTGCTGGTTTCTCGTGTGGAACAACCGCACGCGATCACAATGTCGACCGTGCTGAAGATGTACGTCTTTCCTGCCGTGCCGCCTGCTGTGCCAGATCTACTCCGATTCCGACGGAGAAATTGCCATCTCAGCCTCCACCTTCAAATCAAACATCGCGAGCGAGAGGGGCGGTGCAGTGTACGCCATCGGCTCCGAAACCCTCACTATCACGGACTCCCTTTTCACGGTTAACGAAGTTGGGACGGGCGTTGAAGAGGGCGGTGCAGGAGGCGACGTTTACGCAGGCATCAATGTTGAGCTCACGGTCACTGGAACTACGTTCTCGACGTCTGCGGCCGAGTACGGTGGAGCTGCCATCGAGTGCTGCGGCGCGGTGATCTCCAACTGCACCTTCACGGGGGCGGACGCTGCCAGCGACGGCGTGAGTCGACGGAGGTTTTTGTTGTCAAAGAATACATATAGTGAGAACGAAGTGTCCAATCTGATCTGGCTTGTTGTTGAGGGGTGCTCCCTTTTTGTCCTGTGGCGATTGGGAGGGGTTGTTGTGTGTCTGTGCAGACATCTTCCCTGCGTTCAGTCAAATGCTCCTACCCCCCTGCATTAGAAAACACTCCTGCTCCCATCCACTCTAAAACTCCAGCTGCACAACCAAGCCAGGAACCACGTACATGATGTCTCGGACATGACCATGGTATGTAATTCCCATGGCCTGCATGCCTTCCACCGCCGTCCAAATAGTTGCACAGTAGCATGGTCCGTTCGCGATATTGGGGTCCGCACATATTGACAAACTATTTTGATTCGCTTCTATGGTACCCCGTCTCCCCGACAAACGCAACCTTAATCTTGGGTCAGGCGCACTACGGCGGGGCGCTGCTGGTCAATCGCCCTGACCAAGACGCGTGCTCGAGGGAGCTTGACCTCTCAGACACGATTTTCAGCGGATGCAGCGTAGTTAGCACTACTGGAGCGGGCGGTTCTGTGGCTATCTTCGACACTTCGGCAACAATTACCGACTGCACTTTCGAGAGCAGCGTTGGCACAGCGGTGCTGTTCTCGTCTTCCAGCGATTCCGGAGAACACCAGCTTCTCGTGAGTGACGCGTGTTCTTGTCGTCTAGTAGTGCATTCTTGTCGACGATTCCACTTGTTGTGTGAGGATGTCCACATGTGCCGTAAATTGACCTATCACTGCTGTCCGCTGCTTCCCGAACGCCTCCTTTTGTCTGCGTTTCAGATGGACTACGTTCAGTTCAACCTCAACACCCTCCCCGCTGAGGCCTACGCCACCGACACTGAGCAGGGAGCTGCGATCGTGGTGACGAACACGGGCGTGGAGGAAGTGAGTTTGTTTCGCTTGGCCTTGATGGCTTCGTACTTGGTTTGGTTTGCTTTGGGTGTATTGGAAGTGTTCTTGAGCTGGAGGCAAAACCCTCGGTTGCGGCGAGGTTTATTCGAATAGCAGTTTGTCCTCCGGAAGAGGGAGTCACCTCGGTCACTTTGTCTCTCTTTGGGAAAGTGCTGCGGTGAGCTTCACAGCACTCCGTAGTAGTCGTGCAGGGAATATTTGACACCACGGTAGACGAGGCGGGTTCAAAGTTTAAAGAACGCGTCGGCGATGTCTGCCGGGCATAAGCGAACAACATTACCGATAACCCTGAAGGTTTCCAACTCACGTCCAACCTCATACTATTCCATTTCATTTCATTTCAGGGAAACACGACGGTCGTCATGGGCGAGTTCAACGACATGTACTGCTTCGGCAACGACCCTTACGAGTGCGAATTTGTGTACGATCAATCGGATATCGTCCACAGCGGGGAGTTCAATTGCCAACTCTGCGTTATCGACGGGGTTCGACAAGAAGTCAGTGGCACCGACGACGACTCGGTCGAGTAAGTTTGTTGATCTGCAGGACTCTGGTGCCCCCCTCCTTACGTTGTTTCCTTCTTGTAGGATAAAGTGCGGCGTCCTTCGCAAGCTCTAACTCTTACTCTAGGCACACACCAACTTGTGGTTCACTTGTACGTAAGCTACCCATACCCAATTTGACTTTTCGGCGCTCTTTTCGTTGCAACCGGGAGAACAGAAGAAATTTCAACCAGTCTTCGAGCTCCGACAGTGCCACCGACGACGGCTTGAACACCGGGTAAGCTTGTTGATCTGAGGGACTCTGGTGGCCGCCTGTTTAAGAGTACAAGACGACCAGTCCTATGCCCCTCCCTCCTTGCCATTCTTGCTTCTCGTAGGATACAGTGCTGCATCATTCGTTCCCCCTGACCCTAGCCCTAACTGTAGGCACGCATCCGAGTTGTTCAATTGGACGGGAAGCTACCTCCTACCCCATTCGGATTTTATCGCGCGCTTTTGTTGAAACGAGAGACCAGAGGCATCGGCCAGACTTCGAGCTCCACCTCCGTGCAAGAAGGCAGTGGCACCGATGACGACTTGAACACCGGGTAAGGTTGTTGATCTGGAGGACTCTGGTCACCGCCAGTTGAAGAGCACCGTAAGGTTGCTAGTCATCGCACCTCCGAACGGTCGTTTTCTACCATATACATTTTCGCCATCACACGTTCATTGCGATGACTCCGGACTGTGCAATGACTCCGGGCACGTGTGCGGAATCGAGTTCAATCAATTAGTTTTTGACGTTTAAGGTACACCCCTGTGCGATAACTCCGATAGCACTGGAAATACGCATGTTTTCATCTCCTTCGTACCTCCACATGTGGTTCACGACGATGCCATATGTAGCGGAGCCAACGTGCCTGTTTGGTTGCAGGGGCAAAGATTGCACCGGAATCGTTGGCGCTATTATATTAGTCATCGCACCGCTGTGCCGTGACTCGGAACTCTGTGCGGAAATCGAAGTAAAACATTAGGCCATTAAATTTTATCGCACGAGGGTGCAATGACTCCGGGACTGTGCGATGACCCACAATCTTACGGTACAAGACTGTCAGTCCTATGCCCCTCGCTCCTTGCGATGTTTCCTTCTTGTAGGATATAGCCCGGCGTCCTTCGTTCGCCTTGACCCTAGCCCTAACTATCGGCACACTTCCGAGTTGTTCTTTCGTACGTAAAGCTATAACTCCTACCCAATTTTGGCTTTTGCGCGTACTCTTTGTCGCAACCGAGAGAACAGAAAAATCGACCAGAGTTCGAGCTCCGGCTCGTGGGAATCGAAGGACTACGTTATCATTGGCCTGTCGGCAGCTGTGGCTTGTGCATCATCCTGGCAACCGGTGTTCTTGTAGTGCGGGCCTGCAAAAACGGCGGGGGGCTCGGTGAAACACAGTCTGTCCCCTTCCACAACAGGCGCACACCTGCCCCCACCCGCACCAGCAGCTACACCAGCTATGACAGGCACTGCTGAGCCCGTCGAATCATAGATGATGAGTGTGTCGAGCTTCCAGTATCATGTGAAGTTGGCGAAGTCTTCGGAAGTGGGAAAAATAGAAGGGCGGATAGATCGATGCGTCATGATAGCGGTAGGATGATATGCCAGTCTTTGTAAAATGTGATGCGTGTAGCGTGTGACGACGCAAAACCGCCGCAGAACGTCGAACGTTGGAAACATCATGTGAGTGTGAGTATTGCTCTTGACTTGCATGGCTTGCGATGTGCCCGCCCAACCAAGGTATTGAGAAACGATTGCGCAAGAGTTTGTTGTAGAAATTTCACGGTTTTATCCAACCCTTACCAGAATGGTTACAGGAGGAGAGTTTATTCCGAGAGACTGACGTAACCCCGAGTGCAGTACGCAGGCCGCAAGAACTTGTGGTTCAGGAACATGTTTTCACAGAGCAGGTGCTTTTCAAGACGAGAAAACCGCGCCTAGCCTATGTCGAAACATTAGGGAGATTTTCCTTGGCTTTCCGGTATGTATCGCGCCCAGCATATTTTTACGCCGGAGTAAGTCGCGTCAACGAAGTCACGACAACCGAAGCCAGTATATCACAATTTTGAATGGAACAGAAGGTTCAAAACTTGTTCTAGACGACGCCCAACATTTGCTTTCCTGATGGAGTTTACAACCGATTAATTAACTGGTTCGGACGGATTGGATCCATCCGCGCCCGGACTGTTTTTCTGTTTTTTGGTGGCTTGTCTTAACTCCTGATTTTTCCCGGTAGTTCGTCGTGTTTCGGGGTGCTTTCTTCGTGTTGTTGCGGAACATTTGAAACAGATCAGGCTTTATCTCGATATTTATCAGGTCATGCATAATGTGACGGAGTACATGCGCAGCACGACTGCCAACCATGAGACTTCTCAGTAGTCTACTGTATTGACGGATAATAGATGCGCAACACGCTTCCAACTATGGTGGGTCTACAGGTCAGACGTCTGGACTTCCCGTCCTCCTTTTCGCACACACCCAATATTGCAGGTATGATCTTCGCTCGGCTTGTCGCCCTATGTAGCTAGTGTTTGGTTCGCGACTTCCGAGTCCTTCACCCCACCGTCTGGCGGGGATTGTTTGTACATAATGTTCGTAACCCAGACACACACACACATATATATATATGTGGGGACATGTCAGGGCGTTCACATCCATCCTTCTCCTTCTCCATCCGCCACCCTCCTCACCCTACACATGTCTTTATGACTTCCCCCCCCGGGAAAAGTGCGGAGAGAGAAGAAAATAATCTAAGGAAATAAACCAAGGAGAAGGAGGGTCTAGAAGTGTACGGAATGTTGAAAGAAGGAATAGGGTTCAAGGATTACCTACACGGGCCAATGGATGCAGGGACAAAGCTTAAGGGCAAATTCAGGACCTGAGACATAGGCCTTCGAGAAAGCCGACGAACACATAGGATGGTAGACGACGAAGACGACAAGTTCAGATGTGATTGCGGCTTCGAGTGCGAAGACGGGGTTCATGTAGTCGCGGAATGTCAGTTGTACGAAAACGAGAGGCAAGTGTACATGACTGAGCTGGGAAAAATAGAAGGGAGGCACAGGGAGATGTTTGAGGCATGGGATAGAGAGGAGAAGACGGTAGCTGTACTGGGAAATAGGAAGTCGTTTGAAGAGGCGGGAAGTGATATCGTTGGGATAGATAGACTAAATAGGGAAGACTTTTTTGAGCTACCTTGGCAAAGTGGGAACGAACGATTGGCCATCGGTGATCGGTCCTGTGGGAACAATGCTCCGTCCTCTCGAGGACGCGTGGTCAATGATCTAACCGCTAAGGCATGCAAGCCATAAGAGTACGCCCCCCGCCCCCGGGAAAAGCAAAAGAAAGAGGCTTCAGTTGAGGTCGTGGCTACCCGCGGGCTGTTATATTTATCAGGTCATGCATAATTCACTCAACTAACCCAAAAAACAAAACGGGAAAACAGTTTATTTGGGGTCGTGACAAACAACGACACACACAATACGCTCGATTCCTTACGGACAATGCTCGCTTTTGAGATCGCGGCCGACGTAATCTTTTCAGGGGGGATGAAACATGGCCATCCCCGTTTGTTTTCCCGGAAGCATCGCCTATCTTACTGTACCCGAACATTAAGCTTCAAAAAAGCCCAAGAAAAGCGACATCTAGCCACCTACTCCAAACCGTACTTCTTACTCCTATATTTATTTGGGATATCCCAGCCGATCTCTCCAAAGTATTTATTAATTACGGGTCAGAGGGGGATGTGGAGACCATCTTCGTAAAGATACTACCTCCCCAACGTCTAAGGTGGCGAGGACGATTCCCTCTTTCAAAATGGCGTCGACGTGAGATGTCAGAGTGTCTGCTTTGGGTTGCGGAAGACACGGGTGAATTCAAATCACGACGTTCACCAAATACTCTTGTAAACGGCAATAAAGCAAAACGGTGGGGGGGGGCAAGAAGGACGCACTTGCTATCGAACTCGGAACTTCTGATGACATGGCGGACGTAGCGAACCCACCCTTGTAATCACGCACAAAGGATTGTCAAGAAGTCGATCGCCCCGCCGCCAGCCGGTCGGGTTCCGGTTACCCTTCGGGTAGACTTCTCTTTCTTCTCTATCTAGCAAACAAGAAGAAGTCTCGAAAAAAGGGGGGGAGGGGCGATGTGGAGACCACCTTCTTTATAAAGGTACTATCTCCCCAACGTCTGTCGAGGACGATTCCCTCCTTTCACAGAGAGTATGCTAGTAAGGTCTTTGGGGAGCAGGATGGCTCGTGGGTCTGGATATCGACGGAGCGCGAAACTTTTGACGACCATGCTTGTCTACAAGGATGAAGCGGCGTTTGGCCGTGCTCATTCAACTCCAGCCCAGCTGCTTGAAAGCGTCGACGGCTACGTCGAGGACGACGTGGGCTTGATCCGCTACGTCAGGTTCCAACTCCCTAAGAAGAAGACGACAGCTACCTGTCCGACTTTGTTTTCCTTGCGCAAGCAGGGGGAACGGGGTAACGCCATCTTCTGGTACTGGCAGAAAGCCTGAGGGAGACCATGCCGGCGACAGACTTTTCCGGCAAAGAATGGGGTGTTGACCCACGAAAAGGGGGGAGCGACGGCGACGAACTCACAGCCGAGAACGGCGTGCTTTGGCTGTTTGGGTACCTTTTACACCGGCCCAGACAGAAAGACAGTCACGCTGCCGTGCGGCTGCAATCCCTGTGCAACAGGTGCAGGTGCAAGGACCGAAAGTCCTCGCTCGCTTGCGGCTGCAGAAATCGTTACACCCTACGTCGGGCGGCACCAGCACCTGTGCCAACAGGGGGGGGGGCTGCGTGCCGGCCTACGTTGGGTGCTCCTCAAACTGGGCCGATCGAGGGTGCCGTCCGACCCCGACTACCCGTCGAGACTCGACCACGCCCATCCCCGCGTTTCGCCAATGCCTTCGCACTCTTTCTCGCCTCGAGGAAGCAGCAGGAATCGCACGGAGCGGAACAGAACGACGTGGAGGCGCCCCCCCCCCGAGCCAACTGGGAGCAACGACGTTTCCTCCGGCGATGCCGTGGAATCAAAGAACGCAGAGCTGGAGGACCCCGAGTCGGACGAGAACGGCGACGGTTCGGTCGTTGCACTCGACGATTTGATGGAGTTGGATTCGAGCGAATCTGGCTCCAGCGGTGGGGAATCTGACAGGTTGAGCGAGAAGAGCGTCGACCCTGCGTGGAGTGACGGAGACCCAGATGATGTTGTTGCGGCTCTCGAACACAACACCTGGAATTGAAATCTGACTACGTCTTCAGATAGGTGCATGTTACGTTCCTTGAGAGACCCGGCTTGCTTGGGGTTGGGGATGTCGTGATGGGAACTCTTACACGTCAGATATCTATATCGTAGCGAAAGATCTAATACTGGCGCCATCGTTCTCGTGCTCGGTCCTAGAAGGGTGCGTGTGATCGGATTTATTTCTTCTAATCCATGTATCAATGCCGTATTTTGCGCGTCGTTCTTGGTTGTTCTACAGGTCCGTGCTTTACTTGCGTTCCGTTGGATAGAACCGGTCGAAACGGCGACCAGGGGTGGCAGATTGTCAGACGTAGGAGCGCCAGCCGTACACTGAACAGCTGCAAGAGTGCGCATTTTCGCCCGACCAATTGTCGTACCTAGGGGCGGAGGGAGACGGACGTGGGGGGGGGGGGGGGGGGGGGGGGGGGCCCTATACCGGGTCGTCCAAAATCTTTTGACCTTTAGCCACCCCCCCCACAAAACGGGGGGCGGAAGCCCCGGGGTTTCCCCGGAACAGGGTCTCACATTCCCCAAGGGCAAAGGCCCGGGGGGTTTCCGGGAAATCCCAGAAGGGGGAGTTCTCTTCTGGTAAAGGGGTTTCGCAACTTGGGGTTTTTTT